TCGTTAAAAAATTTTATTGTTACTTAAAAGTTGTTTTAGATCACAAATGTATTTACACCGAATTTGAATATTTTAACTTTTTAGCATTTTAAAGTAAATTAGTTAGCCAGCCGTGAAGTGAACTTTCGCAGAGGTGAACAACTTGTGTTTCGCGCCCTCATATGACCTTAGCAGTTGCGAGCGCCGTAAAACCTTATACTATACTATACTATACTAAACGTTTTATTTAAAATTCTTATTGTTACCTATAAGAGTTGTTTTAAATCACAAATATATTTACACTAAATTTTAACATTTTAGCATTTTAGAGTCAGTTAGTTGACCAATCGTGCTGTGAACTTTTGCGAAGTTAGATAACTTGTGTTTTGCGCGCTCATATGACCTTAGCAGTTTCGAGCGCCGTAAAACCATATACTACTGCTACTAAACTCTTACTAAAACAGCAGAATTCTTCAGTTTTGTGAAGGGAATAATTTTTACTTTTGCTTGCATAGTCTCTCCGCATAGTCAATTCTTATTCAACTTTTTACGGCTGGGTATTAAAAAAATGTTCAATTGAAGACTATTTGTTTGATCCCATCTACCCTGTGTTCATGGGTGGGAAGATCCAGATTCTGAGTATGTGATCTTATTGCTCATTAACGAGTAATGACTGCTGATAATATCTATAAATGCAATTTAGTGGAGAAAATTTTAAATGTATTTGTCGAACAATGTGTCGCTGGTCAGATATATCAATTGCAAAATGATATATTCATTGATCAAATATCCCTGCAACTCATTCATCATCCACGTATGCACACATCCATGAGCATTATTGCACGTACTCACCTCTACTTAGGAGGTGCCATCAAATTGTAGACATTTACTGCAGGATGGAAAAGATAAAGCCTTGAAAACTATAAATTCTCACAAAGACTCAATGCTTTGGCTGGTTTTCTAAACAGTTCAATGACTTGGTTTCTTTTACACTCTTTAGCAATTATTTTCAACCTATGTTGTGTTTATTGAAAAATTTATTCATCATCATCAATGCCTCTCACCCTACATCAGGGTATAGGCCACAAACGAACACTTTCTATTTTTCTCCAAATTCAATGATCTCTTACCCTGTGAATTCCAATTTATTGACAAGCTGTAAATTTGTTGCCTCAGCACTTTTTTCTCACTTTTTGTGATTCAATTTTATTTCTAGCATTTAACATTTTGAAACCTTTACTCATAGAGTGGGCTTAATGATGTGCTGTATCTCATTTTGTCTCCCTGTACAGGCTGTGCAGTATGACTGGGTGAAAATTAATTACCCAAGTATCTGGAAGACCATCTGTAAATTTGTTCAAACTAGACAGTTTGTACCTGTAGGTGGCACCTGGGTTGAGATGGTATGTGGTATTTTTTATTGTTCTGTTATTAAGATAGGTAAATGTTTTTTAAAATCTTAGAGGTGTCATAATACTATTTTCCCTCCAACATTCTGTAACGGATGCCATACCTGAAAAGAATAAAGTGTTCGTCAGTTTCTAGTTATGTTCTTCAGTAAAGATTTGTTGACATAAAGTGATGAATAAATGCCCTTCAGCTTTCAAGTACCCACAATAGAGGATGAGGTTTTCAAATGCTTTTGACAATACTGTCTCTGAATGAGTCTGAGTTCAAACTTGCCTTTTTTTGGTTCGCAGTACAGGAATATATTTCTGTCAACGGTCTTTCTTTATTTCAAGAATCCTACTGGGTGAGTTATCACTTTGTGATTACCGTGAACTGTAACAAAATTATGTAATATTGTTGTTTTATCCACCTCTCCATTGTATACAGGATGGTAATATCCCCAGTGGGGAGTCTTGCATTCGGCAGTTTCTGTATGGTCAACAGTTCTTCATGAAAGAGTTTGGTATTAAGTGTAAAGAGGTAAGAGAATTTATTTTGTTTCTGCGTTTTCATTACAATGGGAAGGTATTCTGTATAGCTAGTTTCCTTTATGAGCGGGGTCGATTTGAAACAGGTTGACAGTTTAACCAAAACCTTTTCTAAATCAAAAGAAAATGCCTTTTTCCTCATGTTCAGACTTGTGCCCTTTCATTTTTTTTTACATTTGAAGCTGTATACTTTTTGAAGGGCATGCTTTGTAATATGATATAAACAAAATTTGTTTTACACGTTCTTTATGTTGTTTATTTTAAGGACACTTGCTTTTCTAGTCAGTCTTGACGTGAAAACAAGACAATATTTTGTCCCTTCATTATAAAAAATCCTTTCCATCAGTTATTTTCCTTTTAATGGAAAATGTGTACCCATAATATACATCATGTTTGAGGTGTCTATTTCTGATGTTGTTGGGATTACTTTTCCTGACTTTACATATTAAGCTGTCCAGGTATACATTTGAATTCAATCATAACTCTGTTTGTTCAAACAATTTTGACAGTATTAAGAAGAGAAAATATGTGTGCCTTTGTCCTAGTGTAGTAGTATTTTTATAAAATGAATGTTATTTATCATAAATTGAAGTGTTTTTCAATTTAAATTGATTTTTATCCCTCCCAACCAGTTTTGGCTTCCCGACACATTTGGTTACTCAGCCCAGTTCCCTCAGATCCTGCGTCACTGTGGTGTGGACAGATTCCTCACACAGAAGCTGAGCTGGAGCATAGTCAACAAGTTCCCTGTATGTTGCCATCCCTCTCTGCTGTAGTTCTTGTATTTTCTGGTGGGACACTAGACTCACTATTTTAGTTTGACTGAAAGCATATGAAGAGTACAGGGAGAAAATGGGGTCAGTCACAGTTTTCTATTTATGCCTTTGGTTTGTTCTCTTGTTTATGCTGTTCCATTTTGTACATTAATACCATTTTCATCAGAAATGGCTGTAATTACGAGGTGTGTCTCAGAATAAAGTTTCCCTGTCATGCTGCCTTCACAAATAATCATAAATCACCTTGTATTTGGTATCAACAGAAATCTTATTCAAATACCTATTCAACGTATGAACCATCAAGTTCCAGACATTTCTCCATTCGATGTACCCGGCGGTCAAAAACAGTGGTCAGTGAGCATTTGTCGAAAGTCCTGAGTGCATTTCTCATAGCCTCTTGAATCTGGTCCTCGTTCTCAAATCGCCGACCTCGCAGCATTTCTTTCACGGAGAAGAGGTGGAAGTCGCATGGGGCGAGATCGAGCGAACAGAACGGGTGTTCCAATAATTCCCACGAGTAGCCCTCGAGAAGCTCGTTCACAACTCTGGACTTGTGAACAGGCGCGTTGTCATGATGCAGAATGACGCCTTCTTCAAGCAAAGCGGGTCTTTTTTTCTGGATCGCAGGTCTCAGTTTGTCTTTGAGGACGAATCTGTAGTAGTCACCATTGACAGTTACACCAGGTGAGACTGGCCAGCTCAGTATGATGCCACTCATGTCGAAAAAAACAATGTGCATCACCTTTCTCTCCACGTGTTTTCTGCGGGCTTTCTGTGGTCTCGGCTAATCCCAATCAAGCCATTGGGCCGACTGTCTTTTCAACTTGGGATCAAATGAGTACACCCAAGTTTCATCGCCAGTGACGATTTTGCTGAGAAACTCTAAACCCTCTTGCTCGACACGCGTCAAAAAGTGCCGAGCCGCTTGAGCACAGACCTGTTTCTGCTCTGGTGTCAGCAAATGGGGCACCCACTTTGCAAACACTTTTTTTTTTCAAAGACCGTTGGTCAATATTCGGTGAACTGTGGCACTGGACATGTCAACTATTTCACTTATTTCCCTGCATGTTCTTCTTGTATCTTCCTCCAAAACAGCTTTAATTCTCTCTACACTGTCGTCACAAACGATGACTGGGGGCCTCCCAGTGTGCGTTTCATCTTTCATAGAATTGATGGGGCATTATTCCCTATTACTTTACATAGATCACCATGGGTTTCATCTGCAGACTTGCCGAGAAGAGTTGAAAATTTGATCACAACTCGGACGTCGTAGCGTGAAAGGGTTGCATTTATGTTTTGCTTAGCCATTTTCCTCGGATTTGCCTTGGACAAAGTGCAGAAGTGTACCACACTTGACACGTCACAGCTCAAGGCAATTGCAATTTGGCGTCGAGATTTCTTAAACATGACATAATGATATCACAAAATTTAGTGGCTGTTGGTAGAACACTTTTGATTTTATGGAGGAGGGAAACTTTATTTTGAGACAGACCTCGTACATACTAGTGACATGTTTAAACATTTGTACACAGAAAGAATGAACATGTGAAAGAAAGGCTGTAGTAGTCCGCAAAAGTTTTCATGTGACTAATACTTTTTTTCTCGTGATGTTTTCATTTGTGAACAAAGGAGGAGTTGTGTCAGAGTGACATTGTTGTAACCATTTGGTTTGAATATATTTTACAGTCACTGAAGTTCAAAAGAAAAACGAGAGAGTTTGTTTGTTGGTCATATGTTTTAAATTTATTATCTCAAAACAGAAAAAAAAATCTGCAAGATCTTTTCTTGGATCTGTATATTTTTAGAAAGTGCTTTTCTATTTATTTTCTGGTTTTTAAGCCAGGCTAGACATGCTTGAGCTTGAGTTGACTAAAAGCATATAAGTAGGTACCAGAAACTAAATTTTCAAACTAGCTGTATGCCAAATTTATCTGTTCCATTTGAAAGGCCTATATCCACTGAGCATTGTGGTACCATTCTTTAACCTCTCCGTCAATTTTTAAGAAAATTGTAGTTGTTTAAAATTTGATCAAATTTGTTAAAGTCAGTCACTGGCTGCAACCCCAAGTTTGACAGACAATAAAAGAGTAACAAGTGCACTAAACATCTCCACATTAACAGAGTACAATCACTATAACAAATATATGGAGCCTAATTTTTTTCAAGACTGTGAGATCTTTACAAATTAGTATTTTATCACTTCAAACACGATGATCTGTCGTTATTTCGACAAAAACACTGAGCGTTGACCCAGCCGGCGCCGCACCGGCCCCCGCGGCGAGCGAGTCGGCTCTCTATACTGTAGTGTACCCCGCGTGCGGGGTCACATGCTTTCTGAGTCTCGCGGAAGGATTGATGTAAAATGATTCCAAGTTAATTACTTTATTCTAATACTAATAGGAAATGAACTGATCTTTTAATTAATACCTTTTATAAGCCGGTATTTTACATATTTTGTGTAAAAAGTGATCTTTAAACATTTTGACGGTATTTTTAAAAGCTTTTTATAAAGACGCCAAAGGCTAAACTTATATCACGGGAAAGCCCGTTTAAAGCTCTACAGTTCTCCGCCAATGAAAAGACGGTATTTAATCATGCCTCGTTCCGCGAAGCATTTGAATGCACGCGTATCAATTTTTCAACCGGCCGACCTCGCATTCCGACTGCGAGGGGCTTCGCTTTCGTCGGCGATTCTCCAGCTCCTAATAATCGGACATATAAACAACTTACACCATTGCAACGAGGAAAAGCTGAACTTTTACCAGGTGTACGGTATTTGGTGTTTTATAGCGAAAGAGCAAAGAAACAGCGATCGGAATTAACCTGATTTTACCGATACCACGCGGTCGGAAAGGGGCCCCTGTGGCCGTGTTTACGCCACCTAATATAAGAATGGGTTTTCAACTGTTTTATCAAGTTTGAGGGGGGGGGGGGTTGTATTTGTTAAAACCAAGTCTGGAATGGAGACAAGTGTGCAGGGATGGGACTCTGATGGTTTGATGTCACTGGAAACTAGATTTTCTCATAAAAAAGAATTCTAAGATCTTTTGGGGCTGATAGATGATTTTGTTTAGATGTGTAAGTCTGAAATTTTCAAATTTAAAAATTCATGCTTAAAAGTTGTTTCATATACAGTATTACCAAGAATTTTTATGTGTGTGCCTTGAGTCCATCTCCAGTGTTTGCTGTGTGCACTTCTTTTTTCCTGTTTCCTTAAATCTTACTCTTTACATCATTCCCAAATGATCAGTGCCTCATCAGCCATATATACCAAATATATGTGTATTTATGTATATGTCTAAAGTCCATCTCAAGTGTTTGCTATGTGCACTCCTTTTTTCTTGTTTCTTGCTCATTCTGTTTCCTTCAATTTTACTCTTTACATCATTCCAAAATGATCAGTGTCTCATCAGCCAGATATGAAATGACAGATAAGTGCATTCTCTTGGTATTGTCCAAATACACAATATATGAGTTTGTTTTTCAGCACCACACCTTTTTTTGGGAGGGCATTGATGGCTCGAAAGTCTTAGCCCATTTTCCACCAGGGGACAGCTATGAAATGGATGGACGAGTGAGAGAGGTATGTTTTAATACTTTTGCCCTTTGTCCATTGCTCCTCCAGCTAGTGCAAGCACCTTGTTTTTCACCCCTTTGACTTGGACTGTTGTTATCCTAAGCAGAACTTTCTATTTTTGTTTTGTTTTTGTAAGCATTCTATGGCATTTGCAACAATAATTTGTATTGGGAAGCTTGTGGTTTACCCACTTTTATGCCATTGCTGTATGTTTTCACTGAAGACAAATCGTGCTGTATATTTACTTTGTGAAAAGGGTGAACAATCCAAACATCAAATGTGAACTGTTGTCATAAACCTTTTATGTATGGGGAGTTTCTGCTAAACCAGATAATTTACAGAATTTACACAATTCATCGACGCATGTTTCAGTTTCTTTTCCAGAAAAGTGTATTGCAAATAACATCAGTTAGCTATAAATATTGAAATATCTATGTTTTTACCTTGATACAGTATTTATTCATATCTAAACCTCTTTTACACAGAAATGGCAGGCCTTGAGATATTTTTAATATATTTAAAGAATATGGAAATTTTGATTCACAAGCAGTTATGTTATCTGCTAGGCATACTGAAATCATTGTTATAGGTCTTTTGTAGTCTTAGTTTTGTTTTTTTTCTTCTCCCTTTCAATGTGAATTCAATGTTCTTTCGATTGTTGTTTTGATTCACAACTGGTCATTTGTGTTATAAACATCATGCGTCGTCTTCCTTTGAAGATGTTGGGGTTATTTTTCTCCATTAATATTTGCTAATGATTTTGTTTGACGTCTTTATTTTTCTTATCTTTTTGGATGCGTTAAGCTGCTGAAGTCTGTGCAGAATTTCCAAGACAAGGGCCGATCTAACCACAGTATGTTTCTGTTTGGATATGGAGATGGGGGCAATGGACCCAGGTAACTGACTGTGGTAGTTAAAACTAGCAGAAAGTAAAAGCAGAATTTTCACTTATACTCAAATTCTTGATGTTTCCACATTTTACACTTTTTCCATGTGAGCAACAGGAAAAGTGTAATGATAATAACAATAATGACTAATTGTAAATTTCATTTATATTGTGCACTTCCATGAAGCTCTGTCTTTTAAGTTATTGCAGTAGTATGTGACATGTACCACTGATTAAAAAACTGCAATTTTTTTTTTTAATTCACAATTTTGGGTTTAGTACATTTTAACAGCTGGCTAACTATATTCTACATGAGTGACTGTTGTATGACTTGACAGTGTTGGTAGTGACTCGGACAAAAGTAATGGATCATTCCAGCACATGTCTTTGATGCATTTGTTCCCAGTGAGGAGATGTTGGAGAGGCTGGAGCGCATGAAGGACTGTGATGGTTTGCCCAAGTGAGTATACAGCAATCACAGACTTGCCAACTGTCCCGAATTTACCCCCAGTGGGTCGGGGGGATATAAATAGACCCACTGCTTCGCCTGCAGAAGGTGTAACCCCCTCAAAGGCGGAGTGTCGCACACGGACCCCAACCCTCTGGGATCCGTGTGCGACGCTCACTTTGGTGTATCGTCCTCTTCTCCTTCCTTCTTTCTTTCTTCTTCTATCTTTCCTACCACCGCTGACCTCATGTGCAGCAAAAAGAGAGGTCACCCATCCCACAGAGTGGGCGCCTCGTTGACCGTGAGGTGCGACCCGTGCGGAGGGAAACCGGGTACCTGGCGGTTGAGGTGAGATCAGTCCACGGACTGTCCCTCGCCAACACACCTCTTTGGCCCAGGTTTTCCTCTTAGACGGGAGGGTGGCACGGCCCATGCCACTCAATCGGTTGAGAGCTGAAACCCCATCAAGCCCTGGGTCAATCTTGACGGGAGGGTCTTGTACTTTCTTGTTGAGAGTATAGCTCCGGGGTAGCCCTGGCACAGCTCTGGTCATCCGAGCAATGTGTCCCCTTGTTGGGCTCCGTGGCGGGCGGGGAGCCCCGGAGTAGAATAAAATAGAAAACTCTCATGGAATCCAAATAAAAAATAGACCCTTCCCCAGCTCCCAACGTAAAGAAGTCTCGGCTCGCGGAAGCGGGTGCGGCCGCCGAGCCGAGCAAAAGCTCAAAAAATGGTAAAAGGACCTTTACCGATGCCTCTTTCCTCCCTCCTCCCAAGGAGCTTCTGAGGCAACCGTACGTGGCCATCTCCAGCACCAAAGACGCACAGAGAAGAATTACAGATCTCAACCTCTTTCAGACAGGAGATGCACTACGGAAAGTTCTGGGATACATTCCCACATGTGTACAGAAACTTTCCTGTGGTGCACTCCTTGTCAAGTGCGCAACCGAGATCGAAGTGACCAAACTCCTGGATACCACGACCTTCGGCGGTATTCAATGTAAGTCAGAGCACTACCAAAAATTTAACCGCTCGAAGGGCGTGGTCCGCAGCCATGAGCTGAAAGGCTGCTCCATGGAAGAGATTGTGGAGCACTGTGAGGGAGTGGTCGAAGCCCGCCGGATTACTCTTCGGCGGGGGGAGACTACTATCGAGACGAACACGATTGTCCTAACATTTGAATCGTGTCGCCCTCCAGCCACCGTTCGGGCATCTTACTTGGTACTCGACGTACGACCCTATGTGCCAAACCCTCTGCGCTGTTTCAAGTGTCAGAAGTTCGGTCATAGCCTGTCACGGTGCCGTCACGCAGCCGTGTGTCCTCGTTGTGGCAAGACCGGGCATCCTGAGAAGGAATGCAAGGCTAGTCCTTGTTGCCCCAATTGCCACGGCCAGCTCACAGCTTTCAGCAAGGAGTGCCCAACTTGGCTCCAAGAACGCGCCATCCAGGAATACAAGGCGCGAAATGGCTGCTCCTTCCAGGAGGCCCGTAAGGTTGTCTGCCCGCCAATCACAACCCCAGTCATTGGCCGGTCATATTCAAAGGCAACCCAGATGGTCACGAGGTCGGCAAGTAATTCTACTGCCGACCTCCCAAAGCCCGCGGTCAACAGGCAAGTCTCTGTGCCAAAGATCACCAAAAATAAAAAGCCCGCTACTATCCCTGTGGCACCCCCCTTTGAGGTGCCACTCTCTAACAGCTATGGGGTTCTAGGGGAGGACGGGGAGGACTCTTCCTCCGCCCCCTCTTCTCCCCCTCACCCCTCTTCTATCATTTCTTCTTCTTCTTCTTCCACCTCACAGCCCATCCCTCTGATGGAGTGTGAGGTGGGCCTTCTCCCCTCCCCCCAGCCCCCTCCCCCCAGCCCCCTCCCCCCCTTCCCAGCCCCCTCGGTCTGCTCCACCTCCCCCTACCCCTCCAGCAGACAAACCCCTGCCTATGGAGGAAGACAGCTCCGACCCCCCTCCCCGGCCTGACCCGGGGAGGGGCGGAGTCTGTCACTCCTCCAAATCCCCCACTAGACCGCCGTCCAATCCAGGACGGCAACCTAGAAAACACTCTGCCTCCCCCGTAAGGAGGAGTCAGAGTGCTTCTTCGAAGCCGGGGCCTAAGTGCTCCAAATCAAAAAGTAAAAATTCATAATGGCGGTCCTGCAATGGAAGGCCGGCGGAATCCGACCTTCCATTGCAGAATTGCAACATTTACAGGCCACACTGTGCCCACGGGTGGCCTGTATTCAAGAAACAAAATTCGCCCCGGCTTCAACCATAGACTTAAGAGGATTTACTGCGTACCATCACATTCACACGGAGAACCAGATTGCTTCCGGTGGTACCACCATCTACACCGACAACTACACACTCCTCAGACAAGTACATCTTAAGACGACCCTCCAGGCTATTGCCGTACGGGTCACCCTGCACAGACCAATCACGATCTGCTCAGTTTACATCCCACCAACTTACCCCCTCAAAATAACCCAACTAAATGACTTAAAATCTCAGCTCCCAAAACCTTTTATTTTGCTAGGTGATTTCAATGCCCACAGCCCCCTTTGGGGAGACAAACCTATAGACCAGAAAGGAAAAATAATAGAAAACTTTTTATTTCAAAATAACATCTGTCTCTTAAATGATAAATCCCCAACTTACAGAAACAGAGCCACTTATGGCACTTCATCCCTTGACCTCACCTTTTGTACCCCTGACCTAGTCTCAGATCTTGAGTGGTCTGTGCTGGATGACCGTACGGACCATTTCCCAATTCTCCTCAAAAACAATAACCTCCAAAACGACCCGATCCCAGAACTTCAAAAAAGCCGACTGGGACGGGTTTGCCAATCAATGTTCCAAGATTCTTAATCCCAATTTCGACCACAACTACAATAAATTCCACGAAAAGCTTTTAGAAATATGCCACAATCAAATACCAAAAACAAAAACAAAACCCCGGAAGAACAAGGTCTGGTTCTCTTGGGAGTGTGAGGACGCAGTAAAGAAAAAGAAGGCAGCGTATCGAAGAGCCGTCAACAACACCACCATAGAAAACAAGATATTTTATTTAAAGGCTCGAGCTGAGGCACGTAGATGCCTCAGGGAGAGCAAAAGACAATCATTCCAAAAATACATCTCCAAAATCAACAGCCAGACACCACTCAACCAAGTTTTCAAAATTGCTAAAAAATTCTTAGGTAGACGCACAGACACCATTCGGCACGTCCAGAGGGCGGATGGAACCACAGCTGAAACACAAGTAGACATCGCAAACACAATAGCTACATCTCTCGCCAAAAACTCATCCCAAGCAAACTACGACACCACTTTTCAAAACATCAAAACTAACAGAGAAAAACAACACCTAAACTTCCACTCAAACAACACTGAAACCTACAACGCAGACTTCACAATAGACGAACTAACATCGTGCGTCTCGGACCTGGGCGATACAGCCCCGGGACCGGATGACATCCACAACAAGATCATTAGACACTTACCCTCAGAAACAGTCACACTCCTACTACACATATACAACGACATATGGCGGTCGCACTACTTTCCGGAGTCTTGGCGTCTCGCCACTGTTATTCCAATACCCAAACCAAACAAAGACCACACACACCCATCCAATTACAGACCTATAGCTCTAACGAGCTGTCTCTGCAAACTAATTGAAAAAATGATTCACAGGCGACTCATGTGGTTTCTGGAAACGACGGGCTCGCTGAGCGGTCTCCAGTGCGGATTCAGGAAAACTCGATCCACTCTGGATCACCTGGTCCGCCTGGAGACCTTTATACGCGAGACGTCCGCTGAAAGTGGCCACATGATCGCCATCTTTTTTTACCTAGAAAAAGCCTTCGACACAACCTGGAAGTACGGCATTCTTCGAGACCTGCACGCACTCGGCATACGCGGTCACCTCCCTGCCTTCATTGGCAACTTCCTGAAGAACCGTTCCTTCCAGGTTCGTGTCGGATCCTCCCTTTCAGACCCCCACCAACAGGAGGAAGGAGTCCCACAGGGGAGCATCCTTTCTCCTCTCCTATTTGAAATTAAAATTAACTCCATAGTGAAAACCCTCCAGAACAGCATAGACAGCTCGTTATACGTTGACGACTTCTTGATATGCTGCCGATCGAAAAATCCTCATTTGAGATCTATGGAAAGGCAGCTGCAAACGCAGCTGCAAAAACTTGAAACGTGGGCAAACAACAACGGTTTCAAGTTCTCCCCGTCAAAGACGGTTGCAGTACACTTCTGCCGAACAGGCAGACGTGTGCTGCAGCCGGATTTGACACTATACGGGGAAAGGATTCCCGTCCAGGACCAAGCTCGTTTCCTCGGCGTCATTTTCGACAAAAAACTCACATTCATTTCACACATCAAAGACCTTCGTGTGAGGTGCCAGAAAGCGTTAAACGCTTTGAAAATTCTATCAAATCCGGAGTGGGGCGGGGACTCAAAACACCTTCTCCACTTGTACATCTCCCTTGTCCGGTCCAGGCTTGACTACGGCTGTCAAGTCTACGGATCGGCAAAACCACACGTCTTAAAAATACTAGATCCAATACAAAACCAAGGACTCCGCCTCGCTCTGGGGGCTTTCCGCACTTCTCCGGTGGAGAGCCTCCAGGCCGAGGCCAACATACCACCACTCTCACTCAGACGCACACAACTCTCACTACAATACGCAGTTAAACAGAGCTCAACACCGGAAAATCCAGCGCACAACAGCATTTTTCAAACAAATCCAGAAACCAGAAACAGATTCCAAAACAACGAAAAACTCATCAAACCTTTCGGCCTCAGAATCCTTGAGGACCTCAAAAACTTACAATTTTCCAAACAAGACATCCAACAAATTCTTTTCCCCGACCTCCCTCCGTGGCACCTCACCAAGGCAAAAGTAGATTAACAGCTGACCACACACAACAAAGAAAGCACAAACACCAAAACTTTTCAAACAGAATACAAAAAACTAATAGATAAATACCCCGGTGCGGAGCTCATCTTCACGGATGGCTCCAAAAAAGACAATGAAGTGGGCGCCGCAGCCCTATCTCCCAACAATACACACCAGAGGAGACTCCATCCCGAAGCCTCCATTTTCACTGCGGAGGCCACTGCCATTGACATGGCACTGGACTCTGTAGAAAATTCCCCTAACAAATCTTTCCTTATCCTTTCTGACTCTCTGTCTTGCATCACCTCACTCACAAACTACACACTCCTACACCCAAAACTAGTTAGGCTACAACAGAAAATCCATACACTATCCGAAACAGGAAAAAACATCATGTTCGCATGGATACCCAGCCATGTGGGCATCCGAGGAAACGAGCAGGTAGACGACCTGGCGAAGAAAGCTTCATCCCTTCTGCTGGGATCAACGACAAACACTCTCCCACAGACTGACTTTTGAAATAAAGTCAAAAAGTACACCTCCAGTCTGTGGGAGAGCCACTGGGAAAACCAGAAAAATAATAAATTATATGAAATTAAACCCAGACTAGAACAGCGAAATCCTTCGGATCTCTCCAGAAGAGACGAAGTCATTTTTACTCGATTGCGCATCGGACACACGGCCCTGACCCACAAATACCTCCTACAGGGAGAGGAGAAGCCGTTCTGTGTCGGATGCGACACAGATTTTACCATTAGACACATTTTAACAGAATGTCTAGACTTTGGAGAGATCCGAAGGAAATATTATAAATGCAAGAAATTGCAGGATATTTTCTCCGTCGTTGTTCCCAGCAGAATTTTAAATTTTATAAAGGCCATTGGCCTTTATGGCGAGTTGTAAAGTGAATCTGATATTATTTAAAATTTTTATTGTTACTTAAAAGTTGTTTTAGATCACAAATGTATTTACACCGAATTTGAATATTTTAACTTTTTAGCATTTTAAAGTAAATTAGTTACCAGTCGTGAAGTGAACTTTCGCAGAGGTGAACAACTTGTGTTTCGCGCGCTCATATGACCTTAGCAGTTGCGAGCGCCGTAAAACCTTATACTATACATACATACAGCATTTTTAAAACAAATCCAGAAACCAGAAACAAATTCCAAAACAACGAAAAACTCATCAAACCCTTCGGCCTCAGAATCCTTGAGGACCTCAAAAACTTAAACTTTTCCAAACAAGACATCCAACAAATTCTTTTCCCCGACCTCCCTCCGTGGCACCTCACCAAGGCAAAAGTAGACTTACAGCTGACCACACACAACAAACAAAGCACAAACACCAAAACTTTTCAAGCAGAATACAAAAAACTAATAGATAAATACCCCGGTGCGGAGCTCATCTTCACGGATGGCTCCAAAAAAGACAATGAAGTGGGCGCCGCAGCCCTATCTTCCAACAGTACACACCAGAGTAGACTCCATCTTGAAGCCTCCATTTTCTTCGCGGAGGCCACTGCCATTGACATGGCACTGGACTCTGTAGAAAATTCTCCTAACAAATCTTTCCTTATCCTTTCTGACTCTCTGTCTTGCATCACCTCACTCACAAACTACACACTCTTACACCCAAAAATAGTTAGGCTACACACTATCCGAAACAGGAAAAAACATCATGTTCGCATGGATACCCAGCCATGTGGGCATCCGAGGAAACGAGCAGGTAGACGACCTGGCGAAGAAAGCTTCATCCCTTCTGCTGGGATCAACGACAAACACTCTCCCACAGACTGACTTTAGAAATAAAGTCAAAAAGTACACCTCCAGTCTGTGGGAGAGCCACTGGGGAAACCAGAAAAATAATAAACTATATGAAATAAAACCCAAACTAGAACAGCGAAATCCTTCGGACCTCTCCAGAAGAGACGAAGTCATTTTTACTCGATTGCGCATCGGACACACGGCCCTGACCCACAAATACCTCCTACAGGGAGATGAGAAGCCGTTCTGTGTCGGATGCGACACAGATTTTACCATTAGACACATTTTAACAGAATGTCTAGACTTTGGAGAGATCCGAAGGAAATATTATAAATGCAAGAAATTGCAGGATATTTTTTCCGTCGTTGTTCCCAGCAGAATTTTAAATTTTATAAAGGCCATTGGCCTTTATGGCGAGTTGTAGAGTGAATTTGATATTATTTAAAATTTTTATTGTTACTTAAAAGAGTTGTTTTAAACCACAAATGTATTTACACCGAATTTAAATATTTTAACTTTTTAGCATTTTAAAGTAAATTAGTTAACCAGTCGTGAAGTGAACTTTTGCAAAGATGAACAACTTGTGTTTCGCGCGCTCATATGACCTTAGCAGTTGCGAGCGCTGTAAAACCTTATACTATACATACATACATGTCCCGAATTTCCCAGGACTGTTCCGAATTTGGCAATCAAGAACTAAAGAACCTTATCATGTGCCCTCTATCAAAACCAGTCCCACTTTGTGTAGTTTTAATCTTTGTTGGGTAATCTGATGTTAAATTTTTGAGTGTCCCTGATTGGGTTTTGAAAAAGTTGGCAAGCCTGTAATCAGTCATCAGTTAATGGAAAAATGCTGTGTATTCCTGGCCACATTTCTCAGCTGTTTGTGTGAGGATGTGAATGAACCTGTACATACAATGGACTGGAAGACTCTTTTTGCTCTCTGTGCTACCAATGAACATCAGTTTTATTATTGAATAACTTTTTAATGTTCCCTGTTTTATTTAATATGACTGAGTGTCATAGAATCAGTTGCTCAAGAGGATAAGGAGCATTCACTATGTACCCATTTTTGTCCTTGTTTATTTCTGTCCCAGGTAACGGACACTGATTTATATTTTCTGGCTATTGTATTTTTGCACAACTTGAAAGGTATTTTGGGCATGGTTCAATAGGTTACTTATTGTGCTAGCTTTATTTTGTTTGTTTACATTATTCTTTGCTGGATAGGTCCAGTAATGGTCCGTTCCTATTAAGTTGTGGGGTAGGCACTCCCTTTATATATATTAAAAGAAGTCAGAGGGATTCAGGCCTCTTATTTTGTGATATTGTGTGGGTCAGAACCCTTTTGTACCCTGGTCCCCTAAGCCTGCAGGGCCCTGCACCTGAGCTGTCTAGGTAAAATGCCTGAATTTATGATTTATGCTATATCACACGGAGACATGTTTTTAGTGTGCCAAAAGTTGAATGTGGTCCAGGCACATTTTACCACATTTCTCCTGCTCGTAGGGCGAGGCCTTAGAAACAATAAAAATGTGCCCACTGACTCAGTCTTTCTTCTATGATATTCTGTTTTGTTTCTTGTGCAGAGTTGTCCACAGCACCTCTGATGAATTCTTCTCCGCTGTTGAGAGAGAGAATTCAGGCATGCTCTGTCGCTGGAGGGGAGAGCTTTATTTAGAGCTGCATAATGGAACATATACCACCTGGGCACAGGTATTTAGGAGAGGATGAGTGAGCTGATGGGTTTTTTTGGTTGCGTCTTTGTGTACCTGTTGTCTTCTCTGTCATTTCGAAGACAAAGCACAGAGTGTGTTGATTAGATTTTTAAGAAAGAAAAGAAAATAAAGACCAAAGAGATACCTCATATAATAAATTGTATCCGGTGAAAGTAAATTCCCCCCTTTCTATTCTTTAAATAATTTTTGAATATCTTCTGAGTGTGGTTTCTTGGTGATCCACATGTGGCCTTTCAGAGAGTGGAGACCCCGTATGTGCAGAATAGGTCTATTAAGTTCTGAATGGAGGGTTTAAGTTTATCTTACCATACATACCTCCTGCTTGTCTGAGCTTAGAATAAATGGTCGCTTTTAAGCACAAGGGGGCTATCCCAAAAAATGCTGTTTTGAGAAAATAGAAGTTAAAGTTTTTGGACTCTTCTTCAGTTTCTATAAAAGGCAAGAAGAGTTTTCTCTATAGCCAAACAAATATGCTCACCAATGAAGCCAAACTTCTTCTATAGATAGGGCATTGCCCACTTTTGGTGTAGGTCAAGATTTCTGGGAACCCCCGAAATCTGGGTTAGCCCACTTGTCCTTAAAAGCGACCAAATATCTGTATCTTAGTTACAGCTGCAACTCGTGCTAATGCTCACAGGAAAACTAGCATGGATTTGTTGTTTGGATAACATTAAAGAAAACAATTGATCATTTTATAATCTATGGAAATTTTTCCTCTTCTCTCATACCTCATCTCACCGATGTCTGGAAAGGTAAAAAAGTACAACAGGAAATGTGAGGTGTGGCTGAGAGATTTGGAACTGCTGGCCACGCTGGCATGTCAGAGGAATCCCAGCTATCAGTACCCGTGGATCCAGCTGGACCGGCTGTGGAAATTGCTTCTGCTCAATCAGTTTCATGACGTTCTCCCTGGGACGTCCATCACACTGGTCAGTCTTTTCTTTTCATGCAATAATGGTAATGATAATAATAGTCATAAAAATAATAATGATAGTAATAGTGATAGTTATGATAATAACACTGATAGTTAAAATAATAATGATGATAGTTATGATAATTATAATGATAGTATTAATAATTATGATAGTGATAATAATAAAGATAATTATACTATTATAAAAATAATAATAACAATAATAATGACGATAATTATTATAAAGATAATAATAATGGTGATAACAATGAGAAAGATAATAATAGCATTTGTATAGCACAATTCCCGTCAACAGCAAGTTGTACCATGTGTTTTACTATTTATATTATTACCTCAAGAAAACTGATAGCATTCCAAAAAAATCTCAACTTCCAGGAAAAGAAAAATACAACCCTCCCCCTCCAACCCATTTTGCACACATTTGCTTTCTTGTTTACATAGCTTTCTACTCATTGATCTTTGTATTATGGTTATGGCATTTAGGATCCACTGAGCTTTAACAAGTTCTTTTAGTTAATGCTATAGTAACTGTACTGTCAATGTGTGCCCTCTTTCATAATATGTTAATGTGTGTAAATTTGTGTGTATGTGTGTTTGTGTTTAAGTTTACTAAGCGTTTTACGGCACTTGCAACACAATTAGGTCATATAAGTGCCAAAGATTAGAGATGTTACAAGACAGTAACAAACATAAAAAAGAAAGAGGAGAGATAATGACGATAGTTTTTTTTAATAGGAAAGAAGGAGCAAACCACATCAGAGCACCCGCCAACCACCCACGTGTGTGTGTATGTGTGTGTGTGAGTGTGTTTGTGTGTGTGTGTGTGTTTAGAGTTAGTGGTAAAGGGGGGTAAGTATAAAGTCCACAATTTTCTTCCACTTTGTCTAACAGATATTGAAAATTCTGTCTTTTCTCATGTCGTTATTTTTTTATGAAAACAGTTATAGAAATTTTTATTAGTTCAGTAAATGCTGGTAATTTTTTTTCTTAATGTTTTTATTTATAGTTTGCTTCTCTATAACCCAAGTCCATGACTCAACAGTTTGATGTGGGTTATCGGTGACAGTTCAAATGTTATCTGCTTTTTCTCATTGTTTTCAGTTTTACTATTAGCTTATTTTTCTATCTTTGTTTGGCTGTCATACTGATATAATTATTATAAACTGCAACTCAGTGACAACTTTCTCCATTTGAAAATTCCACATATATGAAAATTACAGGCTGAACTAGTGTGGGTTCATTTTGTCTGAAAGTATGCTGTATTAAATTGCATTTTTCTGTGTGGTATGATTCGTGCCTTCTTATGGAAACTATTGCATTTTTGCATGAATCAAAGATTTACATTTGAGTGAATATTTCTTTCTTTTTGTTTAAGTCAACAATTCTGTAAGAATAATATCCATGCACTTTTCATTTGTCACAGGTTTACAAAGATGCAATTGCATATTACAAAGGTGAGTGATGTGTTGCTAGCAGTAGTGAATTGAAAAAATTGCCCCATCTGGCACCCCCAGTGGGTCGGGGGGATATAAATAGACTCACTGCACCGCCAGCAGGAGGTGCAACCCCTTCACTGGCGATTTGTCGCCCATGGACATCTACGCTCAGGTGCACATGGGCGACACTTACTTTGGTGTATCGTCTGTCTTCTATCGTCTTTCTTCCTTCTTCTTTCGTCCTTCCCCGAGCTGACCGGGTAATAAAATAAAAATAGTTGGCTGTCCCATCAACAGGGGGTGTAACCCCCCCGCTGGTGGGATGCCACTCGTACGTCACTAGCTCTCTTACGTAGGGGTGGCATCTTTTGTCCGCTCTTGCTATGTCTTCTATCCATCTATCTTTCTTTCCGATCTGTCGACCGAAGGTCCGGTCCAGCAAAGAATAGACACCAAACCCCCGCAACGCGAGGCACCCCGTTGACCGTTGACCACTCAAACATTTCGGTATTTACAAGCCAAAATACATAAAAAATCTAGGATCCACGGACCTCCTGATACAAGTCAGTTCCAGCATTGAATCAGGCAAACTGTTGGCCTGCACCTCGTTTGGTGGCATCCCTGTATGTGTTCAGCCTCACAGGAGTCTGGACACATCCAAGGGTGTCATCAAAAGCCGAGAACTCTACGGCTGTACCGAAGAAGAAATAGTTCAGGAGGTCGATGGAATTGTCCATGCTCGTCGTATCAAAATACGGCGGGATGGCAAGGAAATCTGTACCAACACGTGGATCCTTATCTTCAACACACCCACACCACCAACAAAATTAGACATCGCATACTTAGAACTCGAAGTTAGACCATATATACCGAAACCGATGCGCTGTTTCAACTGTCAGCGCTTCGGACACACACAGCTACGCTGTCGTCGTGGCGCAGCGTGTCCTCGCTGCGGCAAGGAGGGACACTGTGGGGAGACCTGCTCTGCAGATCCCTGGTGTCCAAATTGTCGACAGGGGGGTCACTCTGCATCTTCGACGGAGTGTCCGAAGTGGTGTCAGGAGAAAGCCATCCTCACACATAGGGCCCAGTACGGCGGAACGTTCGCTCAAGCAAGAGCAACGCTATACCCAAAAGGATCGACGCCGAAGAATACAACAAAAACATATTCAGAAGTCCTGAAGACTGTCCCAGGGTCAGTAAACCCAACCCGAAAGGTCCTTCAGACAAATAGAAAGCAGAACACCTGCAAAAATCAACACTCCAGTCTGGAGACGGAGGAGGACATGGAGTCCACTTCCTCCACTCCTATCTCTCCCTCTCTCCATACGCCATCTCCCCACACCCCCTCTTCATCACCACCCTCTCAGCCATCTTCTTCATCCTCATCCCCTTCATCATCCTCACCCTTATCATTCTCATCATCACCCCCATCATCTTCACCCACAACATCCTCCCCATCATCATCCTCACACAAATCACCACATCCTAGACCCTCATTGCTTCAACCTCCATCCCATCATCCTTCATCCAATAAAGCCCCTCCACCCACTCCCCGCACCCGCTCCCCCTCCTCTACCCGCATCCAGGACTCCGGTCCTCCTCCCCCTCCACACTCTCCCTCAAAAAAGGCTGCGGTCCACCGTGACCGCAGCAAAACAAAACAAAGACAAAGGTCACCAACGACCAAAAAAAAATGTATCGAACCCGTGCCTTCAAAATAAATTAAAATGGCAGTTCTTCAGTGGAACATTCGCGGTTTGCGTGCAAACCAGGCAGAACTCTCTTATCTTTTGACCTCACACACCCCAAATGTAATCTGTCTACAAGAAACTAAATTGCCAACACCCACATTCACATTAAAAAACTATCAAACTTACAACCAAATATACACCGACAACCAAATCGCCTCTGGGGGCAACTCCATTTTAATAAATAACCAAACACTACACAGACAAATACAACTAAACACAACACTTCAAGCAGTTGCGGTCAGGGTCACCCTACACCGTCCTATAACTATCTGTTCAATATACATCCCTCCAAATTACCCTCTATCTTTAAGAGAACTAATAAACCTCAGAGACCAGCTCCCACAACCCTTCATCATGTTGGGAGATTTTGATGCCCATAGCCCTCTTTGGGGAAATGAACCAACTGATACTAAAGGTAAAATCATAGAAGATTTCTTAATAAAAACCAGTACTAGTATTTTTAACGACAATTCCCCAACATTTCAAAATTCAAATAACCTAAACGTTTCATCCATAGATTTAACCCTTTGTGATCCTGACCTAATTCCAGACTTTCAGTGGTCGGTCCTGGACGACCCACACGGATCGGACCACTTCCCCATCACCCTAATTCCAGACATTCCGCACCGAACTCCTATCCCAGACCGTTTCAATCTTAAAAGAGCGGACTGGGATGGGTTTCACATGGAATGTCTGGAGAAACTCAATCCATCTCAAACACAAACACAAACTTTTGAACGATTTCATGAAACCCTTCTCGAGATCGTTCAAAAACACATACCAAAATTATCCACCAAACCCCGAAGAAATAAATGTTGGTTCACTGAAGACTGCCAAAAAGCTGTTGCGGCCAAAAAATCAGCTCTCAGGAAGTTCGTCAACCCTAAAACTAACGAAGACCTCATTAATTTCAAAATTGCGCGAGCCCAAGCACGCAGAAAAATCAGAACAGCCAAGAAAACATCTTTTCGAAATTATGTCTCAAAAATCAACAACAACACACCAATGCACAAAGTCTGGAAGATGATAAAGAAATTAAAAGGTACTAAAAAAGACACAATCAAACACATCCTTAAACCGAATAACTCCTTCGTAGAAACCGAAAAAACAGTTGCTGACTGTATAGCATCAACTCTCTCCAGAAATTCCTCTACCCACTATTGCAACCCTGAATTCAAAAAAGTAAAAATGTCTTCTGAAAAGACAACTGTTGATTTTACCTCTTCAAATGAAGAACACTATAATTGCAGCTTTTCTCTTAACGAATTAAAATGTAATATTGCAGAACTATCAAACACAGCTCCAGGCCCTGATCAAATACACAACGAAATCATCAAACGTCTTCCAGACGAAACACTCCTATTACTCCTTGATATTTACAATGAACTCTGGCATTCTCAACAATTTCCGAACAGTTGGCGTCTTGCCACTGTTATACCAATCCCAAAACCAGGAAAAAATCACTCTAACCCTTCAAACTACCGTCCCATAGCCCTTACAAACTGTTTCTGTAAACTTATGGAAAAACTTATTAACAAACGTCTAATGTGGTTTCTCGAAACCTCAAACTCCTTATCCAATTTTCAATGCGGTTTTCGCAAAAATCGCTCTACTATTGACCATCTCGTCCGACTTGAAACTTTCATTCGGGAAGCTTTCATTCGAAAAGAGCACCTTGTGGCTATTTTTTTCGACTTAGAAAAAGCATTCGACACCACATGGAAACATGGTATTCTGAAAGATCTGCATGACTTGGGCTTACGCGGAAATCTTCCAGAATTTATACGAAACTTTTTGAAAGATCGATCATTTCAAGTAAAAGTAGGTTCAACATTATCAAATTTACACACCCAAGAAGAAGGCGTCCCCCAGGGAAGCATCTTATCGCCCATTCTTTTCGAAATCAAAATAAATTCCATCACAAAAACCCTTCAAAACAATATTGACTGCTCACTTTATGTTGACGACTTCCTGATTTGCTATAAATCCAAATCCAAAATGGATCACATTGAACGTCAGCTTCAGCTTCAACTCCATAAACTGGAAACTTGGGCAAACGGGCACGGGTTCAAATTTTCCACAGTAAAAACAAACTGTCTACATTTTTGTCTGTCGCACAAGTGTGTGTGACAACCAGATTTATATTTGTTTGGAGAGAAAATTCCTGTTCAAAAACAAGCTCGTTTCCTGGGCGTAATCTTCGACAATAAACTTTCTTTCCTACCACACTTGAAAGACCTAAAGACGAGGTGCCAGAGTGCTCTCAACGCCTTAAAAGTATTATCCAATCCTGAATGGGGAGGAGATACTGAAATACTCCTTCAACTTTACCGTTCTCTTGTCCGTTCCAGGCTGGACTATGCCAGTCCTGTTTACGGATCAGCCAGAAAGTCTTACCTTAAAATTTTAGACCCTGTTCAGAACCAAGGCCTTCGCCTTGCCCTAGGCGCTTTCCGTACTTCACCTGTAGAAAGTTTACAGGCAGAAGCACATGAACCATCTTTGGAACTTAGAAGGAAAAAACTCTCTTTGCAGTACGCTTTGAAACTTAGCTCAGTACCCCAAAACCCAGCCCACAAATGTGTCTTTGGCCTTCCCGAAGACCTAAAAACCCTATCCTCCTTAGGAAATAAAGTAAGCCCTTTCGGAATAAGAATCCAGAACGATCTCAAAGACATTGATTTTTCTGAAGACATAATCGAGCCCTTTGCCATGTCCAGCATACCTCCATGGCATTTAACCAAACCAAACATAGATACTAGTCTTGAAAAACACAACAAAAAGTCCACAGACAAAACTACATACTTAAACTCATATAAACAGCTGATAAATAGATACCCTGAAGCAGAGAAACTTTTTACAGACGGATCCAAAAATGACTCCTCAGTAGGAGCTGCTGCCCTTGCATCGCCACACAGCTTAAGCCTAAGGAAACTCCATCCAGAAGCTTCAGTCTACACTGCTGAGGCTACAGCTCTTGAAATGGCCCTAAATATTATAGATCAATCAACCAAGTCTACCTTCCTAATCCTTTCAGACTCTCTCTCTTGTCTGAAATCTTTAGAGCGCTCTGACACCTCCGACAACAGAATTTTGAAACTTATCATTAAACTGCATTTTCTACATCAGTCTGGAAAAACTATTACAATAGCTTGGCTTCCAAGCCATGTAGGCATTGATGGCAACGAAGCCGTTGACCAATTTGCCAAAGAATCTCTAAAACTACCTGAAAACAAAAATAGTAAAATCCCTTTCTCTGACATGAAACCGAAAGTAAAAGAACACATCACATCCTCCTGGTCCCAAAGTTGGAATCAACAAATACACAACAAACTCCATTACATTCAACCGAAACTTACGCCCAGGAAACCATTTTCTCTACCACGAAAGGAAAAAGTAATTTTTACCCGACTAAAAATAGGACACACGCACGTCACGCACAAACATTTGCTCGATGGAAAGGAAGCTCCTTTTTGCGTGGCGTGCAACACAGATTTCACAGTTCGGCACTTCCTAATGGAATGTGTCGACTTTAATTATGTCCGTGATAAATATTTTAAATGTAAAGATATTAAGACCCTTTTTAACATCATAGAACCTAGAAGAATTTTAAGTTTTATAAAAGAAATTGGACTGTTTAATAAAATGTGAAAATATATAGTGTCGTTGTCGGTGTATGTATATATACGGTGTATGTATATATACGGTGTATATATACATACGGTGTATATATACATACACTGAAATTTGTATTGTATATACAAATGTAAATAAGCCTTTTCCATATTTACAAAAAAAATTTATAAATGTTTGTTCGTCTTTTTAGCATAATAGAAATAGTGTGATCGTTTGCGGTTGCGAGCTCCGAAAGACTCTTTATTAAAAACACGTCTGATTTTGTAGCGGTGAAACCTGATGGCGCTTAAATGACCAAAATTGTGTCGATAGTGCCGTAAAACATCTACCCAATCAATCAATCAATCAATGCCCCATCTGGATCAAAATAAACTGCTCTTCTTGTGGTATGCATTTGATGCTACACTGTTAGTAAGTGATGATATGGGGGTTTTTTCATTGCTGTCTCGACATGTATGTAATTAATATGTGGTTGAGATATTTCTTTATGTTGTTGAACTGGTTTTCTTTGTTATGTGAAATGTTTTATCTTGTGTGATGAAGTATTATGCTCAGTGGTCATGTTATCGATATAATAAAGCACTCAGAGCTTACACTCAGAGTGCTAAATAAGTGCAATCTATCATTATTTTTTTTACTTGACAGAAATATGAGAAAAAAGAATGAGTAAAGCTATCATTAACAAAATAGGGGTCGCAACAAGTGGAATCAGGCGCTCGTCAATTTTGGGGCATATAGAGTTATTGGTCTTATCTTAAAGCCTGTCCATTTGCCTTGCTTTTGATGAAAAAAGTAGGCTATTCATTTATCTTGGATACAAGTCAAGATATTGACGATTGGAAGATTTGGGAGTCGCCTGGTTTCAGAGGTAAAATTAGCAAGATAATGGGCGCCAAAGTTGAGTTATTTCCTTAGCTTGAGAGTCCATGGAAACTAAAAATTTACATCTTTTATGCCTTTAATCACATTTTTCAGTTATGTCCACACAGAAATGTGCTCTTTAAAGGGTATTAAAGGTGTTGGGCTAAAAAACAAAAATTAGACAAAAATTTCCAAACCTGCGGAAAGGTGCCAGTTTCTTGACTTTCATTATTTTGACAAGCGCCTGATTTCATTACACTGCCTCACATATTGTTTTTTGAAGAGTATAAGCAAATAATCTGAACTCCTTTCTTGTTTTGCAGACATATTTTATTTATTTGACAATTTACAAATAAAAATGTTTTTATACATATATTTAGGAGTTTAATGGGGTTTTCTAATTTTTTTAAACCCAGACATTGAGCAGGTTGTCAACCGTGAGATTCATAGAGCTGCAAATGCCTGCGTTTTGAACTCAGTGAGTATTTTTTCTGTTTCTCTGTTTATTTTTATCAAACTAAATGTCTGGGCCTTGACCTCTGTCTATTGTGCTTGAGGTTGTGAAGTTTTTCTTTTTCCACCTTTTGTTGTGCGAGTAATCAGAGGGCTGGACCCCCCCCCCCCAGAGCAGTGCTACTGACTGAAGTGTCTTTAGGCCATTCCCAAAGGGTTAGTATTAACATGTTGTTATCCACAGTAGACTTGTAAATGGACTGATTTATCACTGTCATGCTCATACTGTGCCGGAACAACATAGGGAGAACTGCTGCTTTTTCTTTCTTCATATCGTCGTTTTTCCTCTACTTCTTTTGTATGTTTGTGAACTGCTATTTTCGGGGTGCCTTGATAGTCAAAGCAGACTTTGCACTGTTGAGGCTGGAGAGGTGAGCAGTGTAAGCCTGATTCCTCGTTTGGACTTCTCTGTTGACATCCGCTCCTTGGCGCTCATATGACCTTATGCAGTTGCGAGTGCTGTAAAACCTTACTAAAACTAAAAGAGGGCTGATCCTCTCAAGGAACAGGTGTCAAGCTCAAGGCCAACAGGCCCCACTGGCCCTGGAGAGAATTTTTAGATAGTCCATCCCAAAAAATTTCCATAACACAGAACTCTATTCCAGACTTCAATGAAGTTATTTTTTAAAAAAAGATGCCAAACATGCAGCTCTGACAAACTGGCAAAAGAGCGAAAATCAGTATGCCTTGATTTGTTGTTGTTATATTAACTACATTCTGTACTGTGGCAGGAGTATTGAAGACTAGCACTGATATGTTGTATCTCTTTATTGTCCCTCTTTTGTATTTTCCATTACTGTTATAACTGGGGGCTCTCGTGGCCTAAAGGTTAAGGTGTTGGCCTCTCATTCAAAGGTCCCGGGTTCAAATCCGGGTAGCGACCGAAAAATTTTCTTCTCTAATATTGTCTCCTTTCACCTCCTTTCCTGCTCTCTAGCAATGTTCTGTTGTCTGCTTTCATTTCCACTTTCTGCCCCCACCCCCTCTCCTCCTTTGCCCCCTCCTCTGGGCTCCTGACTCTTTCTGCAGCCTTTCTACTACTACTCCTTGGCTCCTCCTTACTGCTGTCTTTCTGCCACACCCCTGATCTTCTGGTAGGAAAGATCTACTCCTAGCCTTCTCGGACAAGGGCGAAAAATCTCGGAGGGCCCGTGTGCAAGTTGTTCTCAGTAAAGATCCCTTGGTGGTCTAAAATCGATAATAGTAGGCTTCGGCCGCCACCCGGGCAAAATTCAAAATTTCCTACCAACTGAAAATATTAGGTGTGTCCCGCACGCTCATATGACCTTATGCAGTTGCGAGCGCCATAAAACAATTACCAAAAAAAAAAACCAAAAAAAAAAAACTGTTATAACTGATGTGTTTCTCTTTAACTCCAAAAATGCTATTTTCTTGTAATATTCTGTAGTGTATTTGGTTGTTTTTGGTTGTGGCAGGGGGTTAGGCCTAGCCTATTGTATTGTTTGGCTGAAAGTGTGAGAGTGAGTAAAGTGCGAGTCTGTGTTCAGTTGTATTGTTTGCAAGTTGATAAAAGTCTGAGTGACTACTGGTGGGAGTTAAAGAGAGAGAGAGAGAGAGAGAGAGTTGTGTCAAGGCAGAGGAGGCCTGCTGACAGTAGATTGTGAGAAAGGCTAGCTAGAGCCTCAGTTCAGTTGTGCGTGAAGTGTGAGATTCCAATCCAACGCATCGGGGCCCCAAAGCTGCGGAAGGAATCACAACACAGAGCAGAGGAACAGAAGGTTAGTAGTAAAATCTTTGTTTTATGTTCCAAGTAACAACATATTCACATCTTCGAAGTAGTGTGATGGTTGCCCTAGGCTGTAGATAAAAATGTACTTTTGTCAGCTCTTACTTCCTTATTGTCCTTCAATTTATTGGCTCTACCTCTTTACTCTTCTTTAATTGCTTCTGTCTATGGATCTTGCTCTTACCCAACACAAAATAACTATTATTTTGTCAATGCCTGTCTCTTAGTCTGACTTAAGTTCTAGCTGACTCACACTTTCTATTTTCCAGGGAGGACCATCGGGTGAAGGAGACAAGGAGACATACGTGGTCAACACACAGCCATTTCCCCGAAGAGAAATCATTGACCTGGAGCGGCGCTTTGAGAAGGATGACGAAATTCCCCCAGAGGTGGAGGAACATAATATACCAAATGACTTCATTCAAAGTAAATGGTTTATTGGACTGAAATTGTTATTTTGCATTCCCATGCTCCATCAGATAAGAATCTCTTCCATTAAATAAGAAGCTAAAATGTTGTCTTTTGTTTGGAGGCAGGCTAATTAGAAATGGAACAAACGCTCAGTAAAATATGGATGATGACTATTCCTTGAATGAAAAAATTGTTTATATATTATTTTTTATGAAGAAATGAATAAAAGACAAAGTATAAAGTAAGAAATTAAATGACCAGTAAATTCACTTGACACTATATTAACACATTACACCCTAAGGGCGTGGGCGGGAAGTCCATTCCTAGATCCTAAGCAAGGGGAAAGAACCCACCTCGCGTGAATACAGGCCTTTAAAAAAAACATTTAAAAAATACTAAACAAATTCCAAAAATCCTGAAAAAATCAAAGTTAAATCGCAAAATGAATGTAGTTTCAGAAAAATATAACTTTATGTCTGCGCAAACTGTTGGAAATGTTCTGACTTTAGTTCAATCGGGGTGTGCGACCGTCGCTCTCACTTTCAGCCTCGCGGTCGGGCCCTAGATCTAAATTCTAGATTTTCTACGTCTGATCAATCCGAATCGCCTCAAACTCTTGCTACAACGTTTTCATCAAAATCTGAGTCATCTGATTTGCCATATACCTGTTTTTGCTCAAATCCATCGTTATTTCCTTATTCGAACTCAATTGTGTTGGTTTTCAACAAGTCAAGACACTTTCGAAGTGTCGGTAACGCGATCGTACTTCGTTCGGCTCTAATACTAAAACTACTGCCCCGAAAAATTTCGTTTCGGTATCAAACGAAAGAAGAAACTTTTTGCAATAACTATGCAAATCAAAATCTCGGCCCCAGTGTCTCGCCAAGGCGAAATTTCGTTTATAAGATGCTGGGTCGGCGCGGGCGGTTCCAGGCGAGTCAGGGTGGAGCGCGTAAGGGAATTTGTGGGCAATTCCGGGCGAGTTAGGGTGTAATGTGTTAATGTTTTCTATTTTGCCTCAGAAGGGTACACAGTATTTATTGTTTAAAATCTACTCTCTCAAAAAATGGGGACTGTTTGGGTTCTATTTCCTGATCGGCTGATTGAGATTTGAAATGGAAGTCCTGAAGTCCTCTGTGCTGGTGAATATATAGATTCTTTTTTATTTTTGCTGTCAGTTGAGGTGGAAGTCCCGCCCCTGTCTGTCACTCCACTCAGTGCCTGCGAGGTCAACAGGGTCAAGCCGAAAGTTGAAATTAACCCTCCCTTGGAACCCGAGGATGTCTATCTTAAAAGAGAGGTGCTCCACGTGTACTTAAACTAAGCTTGTTGGTGGGTTGTTTGAGGGTGTTTCTGATAGGTTGTTCTTCTTTACTGCCTTTCTGATGTCTGTCTGTCGTGTTTTGGCTTTTCCAGCACAAAACAACTGTTATAGTATTGATGTTGGCTCTTAAAATCAAACATGAAGCTAGTTGCTGTTTTTTATGATAGAGTCAAACTTGTTGAAGATGATCACCCATTGTCAAGGAGAAAAAGGTAATCTTAAACAGGTGGTTCACATAGTGTCATAATTTTAGAAAATTCAACGGGGGGAGGGAAGAGGGATGGGAAGTGATTGTTCATTTGGAGGATTTTCTTGGACAGGTGGCCATTAGAGAAGTTTCAACTGTACTCTATTTGCTGGCATTGTATTTTTTTTTACCTTTACCACAATTCTCTCTATAAATGTAAGCAATGAATAATTCTGTTTTTTTTTCAGTATAGATCAGTGTAAGAGCTATGCAATCTGCATTCTGTAACTTATTCTATACGTTAAAAGAGCATTTGTTTGAATTTCAGACATGCAACCTTGAGCATACCAGCCTCTTTTTATACTGCCATTATTATGGGGCCTTGTCACACACACAGAAAAATCTGAGTTCAATTCCTTGTGGGGAGAATTTTTATTGAGTACTGTATCTTGGTCTTCCTGCTGGGATGTTGTATCTCTCTCAGCCTGGATTGGCTCACCTCCATTAATGATCTAAATTTTGTAAATTGGGGCATACATTTTTTTTTAGGGTGACCTTATTTAGGCCACATATGGCCTAAATAAGCTAAACCCCCCTCCTTTACCTTATTTGGGCCACAGGTGGCCTAAATAAGCTAAACCCCCCTCCCTTACCTTATTTAGGCCACGCCTGTGGCCTAAATAAGCTAAACCCCCCTCCCTTACCTTATTTAGGCCACACCTTTATACAAAGTCACAGAAATATTCCTTTTGTGCTTATTGAGGTACAGTGCAGGGTGATTTTACCAGCAAGGATAATTGGACAAAATGGGCAGAATCTTTATTGCTAATGGTCATATTTAGACAAATCCTATATCATTGTCTTTTTTTTTCTTAACTGCTCATGGTTATTAAAGAGTAAGCCAACTAGGTAGTAATTTCGGATTCCTAATACTAATATTATGGGCATTCTTAAAATTTTTAAACTTGTTTTTAGCGCTTTTCTCAATGTAAAACGGATTCCGTAAAAAAACAATGACCATATCTTTCTTTTTCAAAGTATTGTGCATATATTTGTGTGAAACTATATATTCTATGCTTTCATGTACATGAAAAAAGCTAATAAAGGCAAGCAAAATGTTCTTCAGAGACACAGATCTAGTAGTAGGCCCACTGAATTTTTTTTTATAAACCGGGAAAGATGACCAGAAGATAACAAAATTATTTTATGATCTTCACTTGCACTTGCAATTTTTTGGATAAATTATAGTCTACCTCATTGTCTTTTTTTTCCATAATTTTTCTTCACTATTCATGACAACTGGCATGTATTGTTTTCAGTTATTATCAAGAAAGTGGATAGGCGGACTACGGGGTCTATCTAGCCAAAAGGATAGGTGGACCCCGGGGTCTACCTAACAAAATGCTAGGATTTAGGATGTGAACCCCGGAGTGAGCGTAGTGAAATAAGTAGTAGATCTAGGTTTAACTAAGGATCGGTGGACCCCGGGGTCAACATAGTGAAATAAGTAGATCTCAGTTTATTTTATAGTAGGACTGGCGGAGCCCGTGGTCAACGTAGTGAAATTATAAGTAGATCTAGGTTTAATTAAGGATTGGTGGACCCTGGGGTCAATGTAGTGAAATAAGTACATGTAGATCTAGGTTTAATTTTAAGGATTGGTGGACCCTGGAGTCAACGTAGTGAAATAGGTAGGTTTAAGGTGGACCCCAGGGTCTACCTAACGAAATGCTAGTTAGGTTTTTAGAATAGGTGGAACCTGCGGGGTCACCGTAGTAAAATAAGTAGGTTTAATCTAGGTTTCCCGGGGATCCACCAATCCTTAATTAAACCTTCTTATTCCTCTACGGCTATGGTGATTCCGGGGTCCACCAATCCTTTTAAAATTAACCCTACTTATTTCACTACGCTGACCCCGGGGTCCACCAATCTTTAAAGAAACATACTTATTTCAATACGGTGACCCCGGGGTCCACCTGTCCTAAAACCTAGTATTTTGCTATGTAGACCCCGGGGTCCACCTTAAACCTGCTTATTTATCACTACGTTGACCCCGGGGTCCACCAATCCTTACTTAAACCAAACCTTATTTCACTACGGTGACTCGGGGGTTTACATCCTAAAACCTAGTATTTCGCTTTGCAGACCCAGGAGTCCACCTATCCTCTTCAGGACTAAACTATTATCAATTTGCAATTTTCATTGATTAGCTTCTTTTTTTTTTAAATATTGAATCAGAGACTCGCTTTCTAAAAAGTCCACTGCTAATGCTATTCTTTTCAAAGAAAATGGCACATTTTGATTTTATGACATGTTGAAAAAAGAGAGTTTTAAAAATATCCCGAAAACAATATAAAATGATGATATAGATCTCTCTCTCTCTCTCTCTCTCTCTCTCTCTCTCTATATATATATATATATATATATATATATGTGTGTGTGTGTGTGTGTATTTTATTATATGTACACTAAAAGACTGAGCAGAGGCTTACAATGTAAATTCTCTGCTCTACAAGTAGAGAAAATCTTAAGTTTGCGCAAAACAGATTTTAGAAAAAAAGTTGGATCTAATTATTCTAATAAAAGTAAAAGTGATTGTTATGCTGAGATTTGTTATTATTAACTCTGGAAATACAGTTACTTGCTGAATCTAAAAGTAACTAGAACTGTGCAATTCGTTTTATTTCAATTCCAAAGCCCAAAGGCATAGCAATAATAAGTTAGATCTAGATCTAGCAGTTGTAGGCTCTCTGGCTACTTCTAGCATAGGCCTGCTACTACTGATTCTAGACAGGGAATCTAGATCTTGCCATCGCCTGCACTATTAAAGTCAAATATATGGTAAAATAAAAACAAAACTGAATTTTTTGTCAGTCAGTACATCCCAATTGCCATAGCCGCACGTATTAATAGTTGAATAATGCGATACCGAAGCAACACATTATCACAGTGTGCAGGGGAGAGCGAGGTGCTCGGTCGATTCGGTGGTTCGGCTTTTGTAGATCTATGCATTTTTTACGGAAAGCCCTATTACCTGGCCTATTACTAGATCTATTAGTGTTGTGAAAACTTCAACCTCTACAGCTCAGGCGTCAAAAGATGCTGGAAAATAATAATACGTCCTGAAGTTTCATAATTTATTTTTATACAGAATAACACAGTACACAGCCAGTAGTTTTTATTTCACCGAGTTATAAAAATGGCCTTCGTATAAAAATAGCTTGTTTTCAGAAGCAAATTTTAATAGTTCTAGTTCTACCGAATCGATTTTCAGGCGAATTCAACCATTTTGATGATCTTTGTTTTCCTTGTAAATAGATGTAGATCTAGGCCTGTCGGATGTGGCAGTGTGATTAACACTGAGTTGTTTAGATCTAGATCTAGACCCATCAAAACACGAGGCTTCGTGGCAGATCACAAAAGTCTACGGGGCTTATCGAGGCCGATTCGCCCTGCTGCGAGCACGTTCACTAAACTGCCTATAGATAGAATCTACTACCAAATATTCTCTACACGATCTTTGCTACTACTACTACTAGGCCTACTAGCCTACATGTACTACTACGAGACAGTAAGAGAGCGTGTCACTCAGACAAAGATAGTGTAACTTTGACTCAGCCACGTAGTGTACACACTTTTTATACCCCAAATTTAACCTGGAAGTCCATTCGGAGGATTTGACCTTTTCACTTGACCAAAGTGTGCCAAAATGGTAGCCTAGCTTTTGCCCCTCCATGAAGGAAAAATCTGGCCCTCATTCAAACCATTGGGATTGAGCAAAATTTTGCGTATTGTGCTTTGTTCTTTACAATATTCATTATGGTTATGATTTATAAGTTGTACACTGAGACAAAACCGTACTAAATGAGAAAGGTGCACCATTATGAAAGTGGAACGAACTCAGTTGCCTGAAAAGGGTAGTTTGAGCATGTGTGGCCTGAATAAGCTAAACCCCCCTCCCTTACCTTATTTAGGCCACAGTCCACTGTGGCCTAAATAAGCTAAACCCCCCTCCCTTACCTTATTTAGGCCATATGTGGCCTAAATAAGCACTCCCTTTTTTTTATTGGAAAAAAAATGTAAGCATCAAGATGGCATTAAAAAGGTGGGATTTTTTCACGTTGCTTTTCCTCTGTGATTACAGGAAGTTGCTGAATTTGGCGAGGTGTTTGTCATGAGCAATGGAATCATCAAAACATACATAGACTTCAGTGGTCGTATCTTGTCATTGAAGAGATTTGACAAGGCCACCAACAGGTAACTCTGCTTGTTTAACTCTTTATCTTCGGAGGGGGGGTTTTCCTACCAGGACAAAGCCCTCTTGTGTCACGAAACTTGAAAGTGACACATATGTCACTAAATTGGTCCTTAAACTAAATCAAATAAACCTATTTTGATAGTTCTTCATCTATGAAAGAACTGGAAAAAGAGACTTGTTTTTGGCAACTGCCGAAAACAAATATAATGTCGGCGGTCGAAGTCGTCTTAAAGGAATGTGCTAAAGCCACTGCTAGTGGCTCACCGGCGCAGCGATTTTGACTGTGAGCTGTTGGGAGCAGCTTGCCAGAGGTAAGGAGTTAATCCGCTCATACCCAGGAGGTTGTATCTAAGTGCACAACTTAATTTGTCTTAACTTTGCAGTCAACATCTTGAACATTAGGTAGCGTAAACACGGCCTCGCGGGCACTCGCGGCCTTCTGACCGCGTGGTATCGGTAAAATCGGGGTAATTCCGATCGCCGTTTCTTTGCTCTTTCGATATAAAACACCAAATGCCGTACACTGTAAAAATTCAGCTTTTCCTCGTTACAATGGTGTAAGTTGTTTATATGTCCGATTATTAGGAGCTGGAGAATCGCCGACGAAAGCGAAGCCCTTCGCGGTCGGAATGCGAGGTCGGCCGGTTGAAAAATTGACACGCGTGCATTCAAATGCTTCGCGGAACGAGGGATGATTAAATACCGTCTTTTCATTGGCGGAGAACTGTAGAGCTTTAAACGGGCTTTCCCGTGATATAAGTTTAGCCTTTGGCGTCTTTAAAAATACCGCCAAAATGTTTAAAGATCCCTTTTTACACAAAATATGTATAATACCGACTTATTACAGGTATCAATTAAAAGATCAGTTCATTTTCTATTAGAATAAAGTTATTAACTTGGAATTATTTTTCATCAACTCGGAAAGCATGTGACCCCGCACGCGGGGTACACTACAGTAAAGAGCCGACTCGCTCGCCGCGGGGGCCGGTGCGGCGCTGCCGGGTTCACGCTCGGTGTTTTTGTCGAAATAACGACAGATCATCGTGTTTGAGGCGATAAAATACTGATTTGTAAAGATCTCACAGTCTTGAAAAAAATTAGGCTCCATATATTTGTTATAGTGATTGTACTCTGTTAATGTGGAGATGTTTAGTGCACTTGGTACTCTTTTATTGTCTGTCAAACATGGGGTTGCAGCCAGTGACTGACTTTAACAAATTTGATAAAATTTTAAACAACTACAATATTTTCTTAAAAATTGACGGAGAGGTTAAAAAATGGTACCAAAATGCTCAGTGGATATATAGGCCTTTCAAATGGAACAGATAAATTTGGCATACAGCTAGTTTGAAAATTTAGTTTCTGGTACCTATGAACATTCTGCCTTTCTTTTTGTTTTTATGTTATCGGTTTGTCTTCTCTATTATTTGTTCCCTTTCCTTTCTGTCGTTCTTTTTTTACTTTATGTGTTTGTCCTTTGATTTTCTTTGTCTGTCATTCTTGGCTTTTGTTGGGGGTTTTTTATTTTTTATTTCTTCCTTCTGTTGCAAACTCTTTTTGTCCTTTCATCTTACATTCTCTTTCCCCCCCCCCCCCCCCCCCCCCCCCAAAAAATGTAGGTCCTTTTTTTCTTACCCACATTGGCTTCTTTCTCCCTGTTTTGATTTTTTATGCATTAAACAACCGTTATCATATTGTGCTTGTCTTGACTAAAAAAGAAACAACAAAGTCGTAAATGGACAACAGAAGCTGCAGAAATATCCCAATTTGTTTTTCTTATGTCATGTCGTCTTGCAAGAAGTTAGTGGGTGGTTGACAGGTGCTCTGGTGTGTTTTGCTCCTTCTTTTCTATCAAACATTTATTATCCTTTATCTCCCTTCCCTGTTTTCTTGTAAAACGTCTAATCTACGCCACTTGTATGATTGTAATGTGTTGCAATTGATGTAAAGCTCTTTCTAAAACTAAAGAAGGTTATCATTTTGTCAAAGAAACTGTTTGGATGAGTGTATAAGTTTAATATTCATTTCAACTTGCAGGTGGACAAAAGAAGCTGTAGATCCTAAGTTCCCCATGAACCAGTTTGTGCTCTATGATGATGTTCCTCTCTACTGGGATGCTTGGGACATCATGGACTACCACCTGGAGACAAGGTATTCAACTATAGAGGGGATTTTAGGTCTTGCAGGAGATTATTTTGGCCGATGCTACTTGCCTGATATTGGGTGACTAGCGCCAGGCTACTCGCCCGATGTCGGGTGGCCAGCCTCAGGCTAGTGTCAGGCTACTTGCTCGATGTCGGGTGGCTAGTGTCAGGCTATTCGCCTGATCTAGGGTGACTAGCATCAGAAATGCAGCGCTGTGATGCTATTATAGATTGTCTTACTACTAACAAGATGTTTCAATTGCCATATCTCGCGTCTGAACGAGTCTTGGGCGCTAGATCTACCTCGTCTTCTTAGCGCGTGACGGCCCGTGATACGAGTGTAAACAAACGTTCCAGCACTGAGTTGAAAGCGATAAATTTTGTCTTCGGGCAGAGGGAGAAAGAGAGAGAGGGGGGGGGAGAGAAAGAAAGAGAGAGAGAGAGTGACTGAATTTTGCGCGATTGATCACGCGAATTTTAAAGGAGCATGCGCAGAAATCCCCACGGGCCAGAACACGGGACATGCGCAGAAATCCCCAAGGGCTAGAAGCCACAGGCCAGGCGGGGCTAATCGACCAAATTCGATCGCCTGGAACCTGCGCAGAAATCCTAGATCGGGCGAGTAGCCTGGCGCTAGTCACCCAACATCGGGCAAGTAGCCACTACGTTGTTTTTTTTTGTGTGTGTTCCGGAGTCGTAATAAAAGGTTTTAGATGAAGTTTACAATGTTCACCCTTTAAGAAAACTGCAAGTCAAAGTTTTCACGAAAAGGGATTTAGAAGATTTTTTCAAACTGATATCATGTGAGTGTACATGAGCTTTGGAAAGGAAAGGGAGGGGGGGGGGTATCATAGGACTTGTGCAAAAAGTTCCCAAAATTTCGCAGGAGTGTTGTGGCACTTCTAATAAACAAATATGATGAATGGTTGCCCTCAGGAAGCCTTTGAACACTCTGGAGATGATGGCCAATGACACCAACAAGCTGAGAGGGGTTGTTGAGGTGAGTGGGGTTGTTTTTTTTTAGATTCAGTAATAAAGCAAAAAATTGTTTCAGAAGCATGTATCTTCAAACTGTTTACTGATCAAAAGGACTGACTGAGATATTATTCGACGGGCACCATTAAATTCATCACACTGATGTCGCTTGGTTCTCCTTTGCTCCTGCAGTGTGTTGTCACCTTCCTGTCGTCTCACTTTACTGTTGTTTTACTTCCCTTTTTTGTCCCTATTATCTTACTAGGTTGCCTTTCATTTATCTTAACTGCTGACTGGTAATGAAATTGTAATGCCTTTTTCTGTGATACTATTTGTTGTTGTTGTTCTTGTTTTATAGGAATGGTACCTTTTCTTTTTAAATCTCTGTATTTATGCATGCCATTGCAAAACAAAATTCCCAAGGGGATGAATAAAGGGGCATCTTTTCATTTAATTCATTTTCATTTTTGCAGATTTTGCTGAAAATCAATGAAGATAATTACATCAAGCAGGACCTCATTTTGGATGCTGGCAGCCCGTACTTGAGGGTGAAGGTCAAGGTATGGAGGAGTTTATTTTACTGTTCTGGCCCCGCGGAAAATTGCATTTTTGAAACAGAAAAATTGCAAAAAATTGCAACCTTCCCATCCCAGGCGCATAAGTACAGGCTTAACATTTTTAGTTTAATAAAAAACATGACAATTTTGAGTACCGGTAGCATAAAAGCAGCTCAGCCTTTTAAAAGATCATGACAAACAATACAGATTCATCAAATGTTATTAACATTTACTAGTAACAACACACCAGTACGTTAACAATAAAGTTATCGACCAAATATAATATGATAATGCGTGACACAAAATAACGGAACCTTGGTTTTCGTAATAACTTTTAAATGAAGGCATAAAATTTGGCCAAATTTAGTATATGCCGGGTAGGCTTCTATGCAAAAATCTAGAAGTGTATGAGGTTTATTCTATAAAAAAAAAAAAAAATTGACGAGAGATTTTCGAAACAACCTCTAAATACAAAATAAGCTTATGCTGTCTTCGGGTTTTTGCTGTGGCTGTAAAAATCTGTGAGCCTAACTATAAAGGTTTTATATAAATAATTAAAATGCGTGATTGCTGAAACCAAACATGGTTTTGGCAGTTGATGTTCTTCTTGCCTCTCCTCAGGCCCAGATCAGGATTCATTTTGTATCTTTAGGGTAAAACTAGTTAGAATTAATTGTCTGTCATACCTAAGTCACTCTTGTGACTTATCAGTGTGCTATGCTAGTGTCGGGATATATGTTTTAATATAGTTTCTATTGGTATGGGCTAGGGCTTTTGAAGTCAGTTTGGCAATCACCCTGCACTCAATTCCAGATTCAATACTGAATGATAGTTGCCCTTAACGATAGTCCATAAATTTTTATTTTTTTTAAAACCTCGCCTCATTTCATACACACTGTTCATATTAACTTGTGCACTCCCAAACACCTCCTTGCCCTCCCCACATATACAATACATACACACGTGAGAGCATGCACATGTGCACGCACAGACACACACACACATGTGCATGCACAAACAAGTTTTCAAAATATAATTACCCGATATCACGGAAAGCAAGCGCGTTCGATGGGGCAACGATCATCTTTTTTTTCCTTCTTTGTCTTTGTACTACCTGATTTTGGGCCAAAATACCTGAAACTGACTCTGAATCTACCTGAAATGGGAACTTTGAGGTAGGCAGCCCTGTAGATGATCTAAATTGTATCAACAATAGGGACATAGAAAAATACTTACATTAAAAATAAACAACATCCCAGCTTATGTCGCTCTGGAAATAGAGCACTCAGTCATGTGTCATGTGAGAGGACTGGGCTGAGAGGAAAACTTATAAGAAAGAGGGGGGGTGTGGGATGAGAGAATTGTAGCTACTTTAGTTTTGTGTCTTGAACTTGCATGTGTTGGTCAAGCTCAACATGTACTGGCTATCAACAGTCCTTTCATTTGTAGATAAGTTTAATGAAATGGAATAGCCTTCTGGTGAAACAGGAAAGATTAATAAAGCCAGTTGACTCCTTTTGTTATTTAAAGTGAAACTTTTGTTTATATGTTGAAAGAATTTGACACTACAATAGCTTTGTAATTTACTACAGGAGTGGAGTATATATTCAGTCTCAAAATTTATGTTCAATTAACCAAGGACAACTTAAAAGTGTGCCCTGGAAACGTTTTTTAATTTGGAGAAAGGGCTTTTTCGACATCTGTTTCCTCAGTTTGGAATTATCCCCCATTACATGTAGGAGAGGCACCTACATTGATAGCATTTAAAACTGGTCTGAAGACACATTTATTATTCAAATCCTATTTTACCAGATAGTTTGAGTCTTCGTTCAACATTGAGATCAGCAGCCACAGTGACTGTCTTTTTGTGAATGTGTTTTTTTTGTCTGATTAAGGGTGCATATAAAAAAAACATACTTGAAAGGATTTTTGTACATTGAATAGACTAGTATGCATGAAATATGTCCGTGTGTTAGTTGTCAGATTCTTTATTTCATTTTATTGTAAATTACCTAGAGCCACCTGGGAGTGGCCGCCATAGAAGTGATGTTTATTATTAGTAGCAGTAATACTAGTGTTAGCAATTGGTCTTTTAAATATTTTGTATATATCCTTATAAAACACCCCTGAAGCAGTTGCTATAAATAATTATCTTCAGCAATTTTTTGTGAAAATTCTCATCCATTTGTGCCATGAGATATGTGGGATTGATGAAGTTTGTTAAAGTAAGGTGAAAGTTGTGTTGTCTTGTACTCCTAGGTCTGAATCATGTTAATAATATTTCTTAGTTTCTTTTACTCCCAACAACCACTACCACTGTTTTACCGGCCTTCTTTTTCTCTATTCACATTTATGGTGTTGATTGTAGGTCATGGCAGCTGTATATTCAAGCGATATTCTCACTAAAGAGACCAAATGTGAATACTAGTTGGACTGAAATAACCCTTTTAAGTTGCAACAAAAATTACGCGAGAAATCTCTCAGATAATTCCCTCTGAATGCCAGGCCACGTGGAACATGAACCGCAAGTGTCTCAAGGTCGAGTTCCCCACCACTGTGCACGCCACTGAAGCTTCCTACGACATACAGAGTGGCTTCCTGCGCCGACCCAACCACTACAACACTTCTTGGGACTCTGCAAGATATGAGGTGAGCTCAGGCTTTATTTATGATCTCTGTGACCGTGAAATGTTGCAGTTTCAGCTCTTTCATTCCAAGGGTTCAAAATATCTCCTTTTAGAGTTCATATGTCATTTGCTGGCATGTTATTTTACAATTTAAGCAGTTTTCCTTTTGATTTAGGTGATATTCAACATTTTGCTTTCCAGTGGCGGCTGATCTTACCAATTCGTATATTAATGGGAATATAAAGTAGAAAGGTGTGTGTTTATAAACTTACTTTCTCATTTTTGTAACTTAGTTTTTGAAAGGAAATAATGTTTTCAGTTTAGGGAAAATTGTAGTGACTCTGTTTTATTAGATTTGTTTCCTAACATAATTATATTAAAAATGGCTGATGATTTCTGATTTTTGTTTATGAGTATTATTATGACTGTGGCAATTGAAATCTCTTTTTATTGAAACTTGGCTAATGAAGAAAGCATCAACTCTTTTTTTTTATCAATTTATGAGCACATGATCATGTTGTTTAAAGAAAAGTCAGTGACACATTGATGCCTGGCTCAGAAAGAGTTAATAGAAAAATGTGTAAATAGCTTTGGGCTGAATTGTATTAACTCATTTGGTGCAGATCCATGATCTATTGCCTTTATACCTAGCATAATTTGTTTCATGTCTGACTTTAGCTGTGCATATATATGTTTATTTTCTTTCACCATTTATTTTAGTTTTAGTCACTTTTTCATATTCCTCGTTCATTTTCCTTCATTGGGGTATATAAATTATAATATGAACACATTTTATCCAACAAAGTGAGCACCCCAATATATCTGTTGGCCAGAGAAAAATTTGTCTGACATACGTATGTGGAATAAACCCTTCAGCCTTCAGTAATTCTTTCCAGCATAGATGATCCTGAGGATGAAAAAAGAGCAAGTTCCCACACATATTTTATTTGTGTTTCAAAGTAACAGATTTGTACAGAGTATGACAATTTCCACTTTCCGTTACATGTTTCAAAAGAGAATGGTTGTTTTGTTAATGTACTGTAGTTACATTTTTCTTAATATCTTTCCAGGTGTGTGGACATAAGTGGGCGGACCTGTCAGAGCATGGTTTTGGTGTCAGTGTTATGAACGACTGCAAATATGGCTGGGCTGCAGTCGATGGAGTTCTGCGTATGTCCCTGTGAGTGTCTATTTGTCCTTTTCTTTTTGAGCGCAGCATAAACTGTTCAATAAGTTTTGTAGATTATTAATGATTGGGTTAAAATTGTTGAGCCTAAAAATCAGACCCAAATTTCATTCATTTTTAGACTCTTTTGACTCACAGAACCCGGGTTTGAATCCAAATTGAGAATTTTTTTTTAGCTTAAGTTGTTTTGGAGAGTTTTGTTCACGCTCCACTTGGTAAGGTCTTATCAGTGGGTGGTTGGCAGGTGCTCTGGTGTGGTTTGCTCCTTTTTTCCAGTCAAACATCTATCGTCCTTATTTATCACCCTTCTTTTTTGTGTTCGCTACTCCCCTGTAACACCTCTAATCTTTGGCACTTATATCCTGATTGTGGTGTAAGTTCCGTAAAACTCTTACTAAAACAAAATTAGGGCCTATCAGATGTGGATCAACAACTCAAATATGTTTGTTGTCTTTTAATTTGCTTTCTATTAATATTAGTACTCCGGCTAACAAAAGCAGTAAAAGGCTCTACTTTCGTTTTCTCAGTTTTATTATTGATGACACACAATCTTTTTTGTTCTTTTCTTCTTTCTGTGACCCAGACTGCGATCTCCGAAAAACCCGGATCCGCAAGCTGACATTGGAGTACATCGATTCTCATATGCCATTATGCCTCACTTTGGTATGTTTGCGAAGTATTATTAATCCATATGTTTTCCATGTTGTAATTTTTAAAAACTAGACTCATGCTCAGGTAGTCTGCACACATTCATGCATACTTCATTGTTCTGCTCGTAGTGGATTCAAGGTTTCTTTTTGTCTGTTTTAACTCACTTGCGACTGGGCCCTGTCACCAGTCACAAGCGTTGAAGACTGGCGTTTTTTGGGGGTATTTCAATAAATCACCACAACTCTCAGAATTACCCTATTGTAATCATTTTTTGACACAGTAAAGTAACATTCAAGCTTAATCTAATACAAAAAACTAAAGTTGTTTAAGTCTAATACTTTAATTTGTATGATTTTTAAAAATTGGCATGAATTTGATTTCCCGAAAAATTTCCAGAGACGTGACAAGTAGAATGAAATTCACTGCAACAACAAAAATAAAAGTTCAAAGTGTTCTGGTTTGATTTGTATACATGTGCGAGTGTTTGGTGAAAATATAAAAGCTAGTCTGTGCATTGATTCAGACCCATACACTGAATTACATGAGACAGATGTACGGCATGACGTTGTGATTTCGTTGCGCGAAAAACAACACCGGTACTAGTGCTAGATCTAGCCCTAGAACTACGACTCGGGCCGTGTTCGGGTACATATCCAGGATCCTAACTATTAGACACATCATATTCTGAGACACTAGAACCAGTAAAACGCACAGAAGTATAGAAAACGGCGAAATTATGTGATTCTTGTTCATGCGACTTCTTCGACCGTTACTACGACGCGACTGTCGGATTACTATCAGCTGTGTATAGAAAAAAAACAAAGCGCGAGTTCCGGTTCTGTTCAACCCCAGTTGGGGTCACTGTTCTTCACCTTCAATAATTTAAAAACTACCGGCCCCAGAGATACGAAACGAAGTCTAAGTTGCTCAGGCTTGGCCAAACAAGGGTACGAGGCGGGTTTCGCGATCCGTGCGTGATTTGTAGAGCAAAAAAAAAATTCCAAAGTTGGTCACGCAGGGCTTGTGAGACCCGTCGCGAGCGTCGCGGCGGGGGTCACGCAACTGTTGTGTGACCCTTCTGAAGTGAGTTATTGCAATTCGTGTCACAGCATTCCTTTTTTGTTTTAGTTTGGCGCTGTAGCAGCAGTATTTAACTCTCTAATATAGTGCAATAAGAAAGCTAGCATAGTGTTTACCGGAGATATTTCCAAGGATGTTGAAGTTGTAAGCTAAACTGTGCCCACTTGGCACTCTGTTCTATGATTGGCAAATCACATACTCCTTCACTCAGGAGTTTCTGTCTATTCGTCTTGTTTTATTACACTTTAAATGAATGCTGCCAAGTTAATGTACAGTCAAACCTGTCTAAGATGACCACCTCTTGTGGAGGAGAAAAGTCATCATCTTAGACAGGTGGTCCCCTTGAGCAGTGTCATAATATAGAAAAAACGCAAGGGGGGGGGGTAATTTTTTCAAGTGATTGTCTTGGACAGGTAGTCGTTAGAGCAGGTTTGGCTGTACATCTGTTCTACTCTAGTAGAAGAAACTGACAAAAATTGCTTTTTTTTAAAAAGGGTGACCTTATTTAGGCCACATATGGCCTAAATAAGCTAAACCCCCCCCTCCCTTACCTTATTTGGGCCACACCTGTGGCCTAAATAAGCTAAACCCCCCTCCCTTACCTTATTTAGGCCACATATGTAGTCAGAATAACCAAACCAATGTAAAGCATTGTTTTCTTTACAAGTTACATTATTATTTCTTTAAAACTCTTCACATCCATTTTCCTTCACAGCCGTATTGTACATGACATGTGATGTAGAATCAATTTAAGGTCCTTGGAAAGGTGACCAGAAAATAACAAAATTATTTTATGATCTTCACTTGCACTTGCAATTTTTTTGACAAATTAAAGTCTACCTAATTATATTTTTCCCCCTCATTTTTCTTCACTATTCATGACAACTGGCATGTGTTGTTTTCAGTTATTATCAAGAAAGTGGATAGGCGGACTACAGGGTCTATCTAGCCAAAAGGATAGGTGGACCCCAGGGTCTACCTAACAAAATGCTAGGTTTTAGGAGGTGAACCCCGGAGTCGACGTAGTGAAATAAGTAGATCTAGGTTAAACTAAGGATCGGTGGACCCCGAGGTCAACATAGTGAAATAAGTAGATCTCAGTTTATTTTATAATAGGACTGGCGGAGCCCGTGGTCAAAGTAGTGAAATTATAAGTAGATATAGGTTTAATTAAGGATTGGTGGACCTCGGGGTCAATGTAGTGAAATCAGTAGATCTAGGTTTAATTAAGGATTGGTGGACCCTGGGGTCAATGTAGTGAAATAAATACATGTAGATCTAGGTTTAATTTTAAGGATAGGATTGATGGACCCTGGAGTCAACGTAGTGAAATAGGTAGGTTTAAGGTGGACCCCAGGGTCTACCTAACGAAACACTAGATAGGTTTTAGAATAGGTGGATCCTGCGGGCACCATAGTAAAATAAGTAGGTTTAATCAAGGTGTCCCGGGGGTCCACCAATCCTTAATTAAACCTTCTTAATCCTCTATGGCTATGGTGACTCCGGGGTCCACCAGTCTTTAAAGAAACCTACTTATTTCACTGCGGTGACCCCGGGGTCCACCTGTTCTAAAACCTAGTATTTGCCTAGGTAGACCCTGGGCCCCGGGGTCCACCTTAAACCTGCTTATTTATCACTACGTTGACCCCGGGGTCCACCAATCCTTACTTAAACCAAACTTTATTTCACTACGGTGACTCCAGGGTTCACATCTTAAAACCTAGTATTTCGCTATGCAGACCCCGGAGTCCACCTATCCTCTACAGGACTATACTATCTATTATTATCAATTTGCAGTTTTCATTGATTAGCATTTTTATTTTTTATATTGAATCAGAGACTCGCTGTCTAGAAAGTCCACTGCTAATGCTATTCTTATCAAAGAAAATGGCACAATTTGATTTTATGACTTGCTAATAAAAAAAAGAGTTTTAAAAATATCCAGAAAATAACATAAAATGATTATATAGATCTATATATATGTATTTTATTATGCATACTAAAAGACTGAGCAGAGGCTTACAATGTAATTTCTGTGCTCTACAAGTAGAGAAAATCTTTGCGCAAAACAGATTTTATAAAAAAAGTTGGATCTAATTATTCTAATAAAAGTAAAAGTGATTGTTATGGTGGGATTTGTTATTATTAACTCTGGAAAGACAGTTATTTGCTGAATCTAATATTAACTAGCACTCTGCAATTCATTTTATTTCAATTCCAAAGCCTAAAGGCATCGCAATAAGTCAAGTTAGATCTAGATCTAGCAGTTGTAGGCCCTCTGGCTGCTTCTAGCATAGGCCTGCTACTACTGATTCTAGACGGGGAATCTAGATCTAGCTATCACCTGCACTATTAAAGTCAAATATATGGTAAAATAAAAACAAAACGGTGAATTGTTTTGTCAGTCAGTACATCCCAATTGCCATATCCGCACGTATTAATAGTTGATATAATGCGATACCGAAGCAATACGTTATCAGTGTGCAGGGAAGAGCGGGGTGCCCGGGTCGCTGACCGGTTGGTTCGGGGGTTCGGCTTTTGTAGATCTATGCATTTTTTACGGAAAGCCCTATTACTAGATCTATTATTAGTGTTGTGAAAACTTCAACCTCTACAGCTCAGGCGTCAAAAGACGTTGAAAAATAATAATACGTCCTGAAGTTTCATAATTTATACAGAATAACACAGCCAGTAGTTTTTATTTCATAGAGTTATAAAAATTGCCTTATTTTCAGAAGCAAATTTTAATGGTTCCAGTTCTACCGAATCGATTTTCACGCGAATTCAACCATTTTGATGATCTTTCTTTTCCTTTTAAAAAGATGTAGATCTAGAATCTAGGCCTGTCGGATGTGGCAGTGCGATTAACACTGAGTTGTTTAGATCTAGAATCTAGATCTAGACCCATCAAAACACCAGGCTTCGTGGCCGATCACAAAAGTCTACGGGGCTTATCGAGGCCGATTCGCCCTGCCATGTGCACGTTCACTAAACTGCCTACTAGATAGAATCTACTACCACAGATTCTCTACACGATCTTTGCTACTACTACTACATGTACTACTACTAGACAGTACGAGAGAGTGCCACTCAGGCAAAGATAGTGTAACTTTGACTCAGCCACGTTGTGTACACACTTTTTATACCCCAAATTTGACTCGGAAGTCCATTCGAAGGATTTGACCTTTTCACTTGACCAAAGTGTGCCAAAATGGTAGCCTAGCTTTTGCCCCACCATGAAGGAAAAATCTGGCCCTCATTCAAACCATTGGGATTGAGCAAAATTTTGCGTATTGTGCTTTGTTCTTACAATATTCATTATGATATATAAAAGTTGTACACTGAGACAAAACTGTACTAAATGAAAAGGGTGCACCATTATGAAAGTGGAACGAACTCAGTTGCCTGAAAAGGGTGTCCCCCGGTAGTTTGAGCATGTGTGGCCTAAATAAGCTAAACCCCCCTCCCTTACCTTATTTAGGCCACATGTGGCCTAAATAAGCTAACCCCCCCCCTCCCTTACCTTATTTAGGCCATATGTGGCCTAAATAAGCACTCCCAAAAAAAAAACCACTCCATTGAAATCGACATCAAGAACTTAGTTTATTCTTTTTTGCTCTCCAAATATCAGGAAGTTTCCAAGAGGCCAGAACAATCCAGCATGCACTGGCCTTCAACAATCCTCTGAGGACTGTTTTGGCCCCACCACAGGTCAGCACAAACCCTTCCCCAGGGGCTGCGGTTGTTGGTCAGGGCGAGTGGCTCCATCTGGACTCAGACCAGGTCATACTACAAGCAGTGAAAATGGTGAGTGCATTATGTCAAATACTTTAGGGTCATCCTGTCTTGTCAAGGCTGTTTCTCTCAGTTTGTGCAGAGTTTGGTGTTTGAAAATGTTGCCTAAATACTTAAATACCATGACTTGTGGTCTGTTTTATTCTGGCTTATACAAGACTTATAGTGTCAGAGCTATGAAAATGTTGCCTGAATACTTAAATACCATGACTTGTGGTCTGTTTTATTCTGGCTTATACTGATAAGGGTCAGAGCTATCGCTCAACAGACCTTGAGAAATGAGCAAACGAGTTGAGGACAGTGAGGTATGTGATTGGGGTATTTTCGCTATTTGAATTCAATAAAGATTAAAAGAGGCTGAACTTCATCTTTAACAAGTATCACTGATAGGAGCGGTCCAAGCAGGTAGAGAGGAATGAAATCTCTAACGACCGACTTGATGAACTGCTTGATGCAATACTGGAGGATACGATCTGGAAACAAAATTTTATGATTAGAGCGTTGTGCAGTATAGCGCTCCTAATTCTCGATGCCATCTATGCATCATGGGGGAAGGAGAGAGAGAGAGAGAGAGAGAGAGAGACTATTTATAAAGTCTCTGGCATGACTCAGATGTTTTCTGATTGGTCAGTAAAAGCAGGTAGTGAAAAAATACAGTTTTTATTTCCATGACAGGATTAAAAAGAAAGGCTGCAGAGAGAGTAAGGAGCCCAGAGGACGGGCAAAGGGGAGGGGGGAGAGGGGCAGAAAGTGGAGATGAAAGCAGATGACAGAAATTGGTTAGTGAGCAGGAAAGCAGGTGAAAAGAGAACATTTTAGAGAAGAAAATTGTCCATCGCTGTTAGGTTTCAAACCTGTGACCTATTGAATGAGAGGCGAACACCATAACCTCTAGACCACCAGAGCCCCTTGTGTGAGGTTTGAACTAGAGTAGCCATAGAGAAAGACTCCTTATTTTGTCAAGTTTTCACAACCCAGAAGAAGACTTCCTTAACACATTACACCCTAAGGGCCTGGACGGTAAGTCCATTGTTAGATACCAAGTTAGGGGAAGGAACCCATCTCCCGTGAATACAAGCGTTTAAAAAAACACATTTTAAAAATACTTAACGAATTCCAAAAATCCTGAAAAAAATTAAAGTTAAAAAGAAAACTGAATGTAGTTTCAGAAAAATATAACTTTATGTATGCGCAAACTGTTGGAAATGTTCTAACTTTAGTTCAATTGGGGTGTCCGACCCCTCACTCTCACTCTCAGCCTCGCAGTTGGGCCCTAGATCTAAATTCTAAATTTTCTACGCTACGTCTAATCAATCTGAATCGCCCCAAACTCTTGCTACAACGTTTTTATCAAAATCAGAGCCATCTGATTTGTCATATATGCTCGTTTTTGCTCAAATCCATCTAATTTTCCATTTTCGAACTCAATTGTGTCGCTTTTCAACAAGCCGAGACACTTTTAGTGCGAATAAACGGGTTATTGGTCCAATGGACTGAACAGCTGAAAGTAAGGAACTTCCGTGCAGTTCGTTGTTGTTTCTCATACGCAAGCATGGCACGGCGAGTTGTATCAAAGTTTATTGAAACTCTCTATAATTTTGGTGAAGATTTAAGTGAAAGAGAGGTATCAGATAGATAATTTCATAAATCAAAATGTGAATTCGCCTAGCAGTGATGAAGATGACAGAGAAAATGACATTAGACCTAGATCTAGGTCTAGACCAACATCGTCTGTCGATCGTGAGTCTGACTTGTCAGCGAGTACGCAGCCTGGTCCGGCTGGGGGTGATGATAAATCTAGATCTAGCCCCAGTACTAAACTCTAAACAGCCCTCAAAGTGGAGAAGATATATAATGTACCCAGACCTGGGACATCTATTGACAGATCTAGTCCTAGCACTAGCTGCACTGACAATGAAAACACTTCTCTGCCTCTCAGCAAGGAAAATCTAAGATCTTTTTTTTTTTTTCTTTTTCAAAATTAATTATCACTCACATTTTTATGCTACTTCACTGTACACACTCATGCTTCATTCTCCTACACACAAACACACACTGCCACAACTATTTTGTGTAAGTTTATTAGATTTCTGCTATGTCACATCACTTCCTTTTTTTTCCAAATTTTTTTTCTGAGGTAAATTTGTCCCAACTTTCTGTCCCATACATTTTTTGTCATTCATTCTTCACAAAATGTGTTTATTGTGTCTATTGAACCCATATCTTATTAAAAAGCACAGAAAATTTCAAAGAAATAGCATTTCATTTCAATTTTTTATGAATTTTCAAAAAGTGGGGGAAATGGGTGGTCCCCGGGGGCTTGGAGGCAAATCGGGGCGAGATAATCTCGATTTGTGTACAATCTATTCTTGAAGGTCTTTAATGTTATAATTTGGAGAAGCATAAAGAACATTAGCAGTGTAATTTCTGGGTTTTTTATCTTTCTTTAAAGCCATAAGCATGAAACCGAAGTTTGTTTTTGAGCAGACTCAAATGTAATCTCTATACTCACGTCACTTTTCTCCACCAGGCTGAGGACTGCGGCAAAACCATCATTTTACGTGTCCACGAGGCGTTCGGTGGATGTACACAAGTGAAGATCACTACTGGGCTGCAACTGGCCAGTGTCCAGGCTTGTGACGGTCTGGAGGAAGTCCTCAAAGAAGAGAATGTGCAGGAGGGTGTGTCCTGGGAGTGGAAGGATAGCCAGGGAACAATTTCCCTGAACTTATCACCTTTCCAGATTGTCTCTCTGAGGTGTCAGCTGTCATAAGCTTGAGTTGGACTTTGGTGGAAACATTCTTCACCAATTGCATTACGCAGTCTATAGTCTACATGGTTTACTTAATCTTTAGTGTAATGCATCTTCATCGGACAGAAATGTTTACTATGTTGTGAGGATGGATTATGAAAAAAAATGCGATCTTTGGAATTGAGACCTATAAAAGTGTATGTGTACACCATATCAAGAGTATGTAAATGAAGGGTTATGGTTTTACTGTATCATCATTCAAAACTGCTGCTGCTTTCATGGTAATGACTTGGTATATTTAAATGCCAGTATTGTAGACTTATGTTGAAGAAAAGAAAAATGAACATGAAGCCTTGTTCTGATGGTAGAGTGTAAAATTAAATCCTCGCGAGTTCTTCAGGAGTGTTCTTACCTCTTTCCGGACGTATCGCCGATATATCGGCGCGAGTCCACACCCCTTGCGGACGTATAGCCAAAATATTGGCTGTGATAGGGTGCCTCAGTATTGTTTCGTTTTAACATGATCCGTCATTTATAATTACTTTTTATTGTTATTTAAAACTTGGAAAGGGTTTAGGAAACAAAAACATCTTGTTTCACTTCGTCAAAGCGTGGATTGGAGAAAAAACGAGTGAATTAGTTCTTGTGGTCTTGCATCAATAAAACGATGTAACCGGACTCAGTATAAATATCATAACTCTAACAAAAATTGGAATTGCTTTAAAAAAAAAAAGCTGCGCATTCAGAAATGTATGGATTATGCTCTTGTCCTGTTTCACATGTTTGGTGAATGTCATTTTTCCGTCAAAATTTATTTTTCTTTTCACCATCGTCATTTCTAACTCTTGTAATGCATACTTATGTTCAAAATTAATCCTTGTTTCATGTTGGAATGTATTCCTCATTCAATTTCCTTCAATTTGATATATATGTTACGATTTGAGTGATGGTTTTGCTTATACAGTGGAAACCATATATAACAGGCCCGGTAATAACAGGGATCTGGTAATAACAGGGATTTTTAAAGTCCCAGTTTTTTCCTTCTCTTTGTCTCTATTAAAAGTTATCGGCAATAACAGGGCCTCATCGGAGCCCAACCGGTTATAGCAGGGTTATAGCTCGTTAACAATGTGTAAAAAGTAAGAGAGAGAGTAACGCAGTGATGGAGCAAGCCCACGCAAGCCATGCCACTGCAAGCACACGCGGTGTGTGAAGCGAGAGAGGGCTGCAGTGTGCTGCAGACCTCGATCTAGCCCGAAACTTAGCAACACGCACGTGTAATGTGTCACCAACGATGTCAAGCGCAAAAGAAAATGCCTTTCAATTGACAAAATATACGAAATAATCCAGGCTGTTGACAAAAGGCAAGCTCCACTTGCAGAGATTTGTCGTCAGTTCAACATTCCACAAGGGTCGATTCAAACCATTATCAAGGATACAGAGAAGATAGTGGCAGCAAACTCCAATGGAAAGTTTGCTCTGGATCGAAAGATGATGAGACTACCCGATGCAGATGCTGTGGACCAAGCTCTTCTGATGTGGTTTAAGTAAGGAGGCAAGGAGAAAGTTTATGCCAAACCCTCTGTTCGTGGGTACGTGTGGCAAGGGAAGCTACCCATGAAAAAGTACGGCTGGATTAGCCCACAAATGCTTACTTTCCTTGCATTTCTGATTTAACAGGACATTTTCTCTACTCCCACCATCCCTGTTATATCAGGTTTCCACTGTATAAAGTTATTTTGTACACCACTTGTATAGCCTAAGCGAGCCACAAGTTAATTACGTCTAGACCCCAAAAAAACTACGTCCGGAAAGAGTTAATGAGTGCTCACTATTCATATCCAAAAGTTTTTAAAAATAAATTTAGCTCACTGTTTCCATATGTCCAGAGTTAAAGGGATGGATAAAAACAGTCGCCCTTGACCTCTGACCTTCCTTCGTTGTCCTTTGTGAGTTATTTGGGTAGTCTATGAGAATGTTTGATGATATCCTTGGTACACTTTCCTACTGTTTAATTGTAGCCCTTATTAAGACTCCATAGGGCTGATCTAGACTAGAAGACAAACTACTTTCTAGTTAATCATGCTCCGCTTCATTCATCCCATGACTTGCATCATCAGGGGGAACTGAGCATAGGAGATGTTGAGAGTTTTGTCCATGTCTCTCTTCCTGTCGTCCCGCCGAGGAGTCCAATCTTACATCAATTTAACCCTGTCAGACCGTACATCGGGCATACTCAAAACATCAACTATGTGCCAAATTACTGCTTGACCAGTAATAGGGAGGCCGCGTCATAAAATCACATCATATTTAAAAATAGCCAGCCAATCAGCTCTAAACTCTGCATTTAGTGCGAGAACTGATCATTGCAAATGGTCGACTCCATGAGGTTGGACTGCAGTGTTGTTTGTCTTCTAAATTTTGGATTTTTATCGTCATGAAGAGACATGCTGATGAACCAAGCACTTCGACAGGAAAGAGGGCTAGGTCTCAACTGTTTACCACACATGAAGTGCTTGAAGACCCATCGGATTATGAAGGAGATCTTGATCATGACTTCGAGAGCAGTGGTGGTAGTAGTAGATTCTAGTGATGAAAGCATGGACTTCGACGATAGTGGTGATGATGAACCACATGCGTTTCTGCACTTTTGATCAGGAGGCCAGGTATAGGGGGAAGTTAGGTTAAGGGGGTTAAGTCTGACAGGGTTAATGGGACCAGCTTTTTTTCATCAGGTTACTTTTCCTAATGTGGGAGTGGAAAAGAAGGGCAAGGCCCCTCAGTTCCGGTCTCTACAAACCAATCCAAGTTGTCTAATTGTTGTGTTTTTCTCTGGCCTTACATGGACTGTTAGATTTTTTGTTGCTCATGGGTCAGTTTCAGGGCATTTGTATTCATACTGCAGTTCTAATCAGACCTTAGTGAGGGTCAAATATAGTTGAAGCTTAGGATTTTACTTGCAGTAGAGATTTGATTCAGATTCATACATTTTGTCTGTTGGTCATGCCCCCACATAAACATTTTTTCTACTAAGTAAATCCTAGTTGGTATAGAAATTATTTTTGACTCAATAATTGTTTTCTTCGGTCAAATTTTTATTTTACTGGTAGTCATATTGGGCACAATGTCCGGATGTAATAATATTCACTTCAGTGGAAAATGTCAAAACATGGCGAGTTCATTTCACAATTCAGGAATACCAAGACAAAATTTTAACTTCTTCATATTGTCTCTGTGATGTGATTTTTTCTGGTCTCATGTACTGATTTTCTTGCTCAATGTGGTAAGTGAAAACAATATCCTTTTATGCTCATTTATAATTCAGCCAGCAAAAAGTGCCATTGCAGTACCCACTTCACTTACACAGTAACTTTATTCACTGATAATACATTAAGTGGTATTTAGTGAAAATTATTTCTCTAAGTGACAAAGTTGTTCAGTATAATATGTTGTGGTAAAATAATCTCTGCAGAGTGAATATCTTTGCTCTGTAATACATTATGTGAAAGCTCCCTTTGCAAAATTTGAATTTTTCTTCTTTAAAGTAAACTTACACATACCATAAGACGAGTGTTTTTTTTAATTGTTTTTTAACGCCTTACTAGACCCATGTCAATTTGAAAGCATTGCACTTGCCCTCCTGCCCAGAGGTTCTATTGAATATAAACCTCTGAGCAGGAGGGCAAGTGTGGAAAGAAAAGGGCAAGAAAAGAAAACCTGAGAAGAGGGAGCGGGAAAGATTGAGATCAATTTTTTCTTTAGTACCGTATGTGTTGATAACAATGGTCAGAATTAATCATGAGAAGTAGTTATGTAGCGAGCATTCAATATTTTTTTTGTTACCCGTGAGACTAGAGGGTGTAGTAAAAAAACTAGCAGGCTGCTTTGCAGACAGTAGGTTAAATAAATAACCCTGAGTTCAGCACAGCTATATATCATAGTGTCAGAGCTATTGTTTAAGGACTGAGATCTAGGCCTACTGATTTGTCAGAGTCGAGAAATGAGTAAACGGGTTGATGACAGTGGACGCCAAGGTGATAGAATCAACATATGCTCGAAATGTGCATTGTGTCCTGAAGATAAGACGAAAAGGGTGCTGACAGGACTGCACCGACATTGTCACTCATTGTGACTGTGGCATCATCAATTACCAACTTATTACTTATAATGAGATGAACCTAAGATCATTTTTTTAAACGTTTCCATTTGCTATGGGAATGGAGAACAAACACAAGCAACTTCTGTCATATCCATTATATACATGTATTCCATTATAAAACTTTCAAATGGGCACAAGATCAAAGTTGGGAGAGAGATTTGTCATGACGCGGAAATGTTTGTGAAAACCCAACTCAAGATGAAAGCATTAATCGTTTTGTCCTAGCGAGGTTGTAGCCTTACAGTACAGTAGTCTCCGCCAAAACGCACGGTGCTCGGGAGGGCTCCTTAGCGTGTGTTTATACGGAGTGTGCGTTTACATAAACCTTTGCAAGGGGAGGAAGGGACGCAGTCATCTCATTGCCTTGATATTCTAGTGACCTCCCTTTGGGGTGGGGGTCACAGAATTCTACACTTATAGAAGCGGAACTCCCTCTTTGCGATCGCTGATTCGCTGTGAGGAATTGAAACTAAAACATGGCGGCCAGTTGAGGGCACCTTTGGCTGTGCTGCACAGCGAAGCTTCGCGTTGCTATGCACGCTGATGTTAGTGGTAGGGCTTGGAAGACACCTTACATCAGTATTTTAAAACTTTCTTCAAGGAGGAAATATAGTGAAATAGTCTAATATATGTACATTTTTATAATGCCAACAATATGTCATAATTGGCAATGTTACAATGTTTTTGTATTTGTATTGTTGGTTTGTTGTTTTTTTAATGATGGGATGGGATCTAGATCTAGATAGATCTAGATCTCTAGATCTACTAAAGATCTTCACAATCACAATACACTTGATAATAACACTAATTATGAACATTAATTCTGTTGGCAAAATATCTAGATATAGTCTTTATTAGTTCTAGATCTACGATAAAGGGGACGCTGACAGTAACATTTAACTTAAGGCCATCCAAAGAAAGCAAAAAAGAACAATATAAGCCTTTTCTCCAATTTACTAGAAAGAGATAAATAAATTGAGCTTATATTGAGGAAATGTATTATTTCTCACTTTAAGAATTCATCTCTGTGTTTGCATCAGTAGTGTGTACAACAACATGCTTTGTTTAAAGCACGTGCGAGTCTAACAAATACAAGAGATTGGAGAATGTGTCGGTAGCACATAAAATACATAGGCCTATTGTACATGCTGCCAAAAACACAAAATGCAGAAAAGGCCTCAAAATATTGGTTTACACATAAAAGCCAATAATGCAAAACAGAGTAAACAAGAGTGGAACTGGCATATGTTTCCTGAATATATGTTCAAAGTCATTTTCTGTGTGTTGGGAGTGTAATTTCTAATGCATGAATGATAGGCTCATTCAGATGAGATAATGAAGAAACTTGTGTCTACAGTCACAACAGAAAGAGTTCCATGGTGAGTGATCACTGGTCAAGGATTTCAGAGCTGTGTGCATTTTGAGAAAAATTTATCCCCATACCCTGGATCACATGTTGAGGGGATGGGCTTGTCCCCCTGTAATCCCCGCACACAGTAAACAAACACATATTTTTGAACACGAATATAAGAAAAAATAAGTGGTCTCGTAATAGTTACGGATCAAATTGAAGTCCTGTTTCAATTCGATTAATTGATAAAAGTGCGTATCGCAATGCGTTGGCCACCCCCTGCCCTATAGGCCTATGCTATTTAATAAATACATTCGTCAGACCTGGAATCTTTAATGCCCGCACACAGTAAACAAACAC